ATGAAAACTGTCAACAAGGCTCTTCAGAAAGGTGGGGAATGATAGTTTCTGAATATATACTTCCTCACTTGGATTGTTAAGCCCTATTAAATAATTTGGATTCAATACAAACATTTTTAGAAAAGCTATATATATATATATATATATAATATGTTGACCACAGTATGTGTCCATAACTATTGTTCTATAAAAACAGCACCACGATGATTAATAGGCTCAATAAAATACTCTGTTACTCAGGCAATACTGGAAAATTACCAGAAATTTTAAATCTGGGTGTCATTTTAAATCTGGGTATCATGCTTATAAATATCAATTAGGCTCAATATTGATAATGTAGTATCCTACACTCACGAAACTGATTTTCTAGAAAGATACAAATGAAAATACGTTGACTGAATACTTTTTGTGCTGATGCTTATCCCTTTGATTCATAACTTGCTTACCTATAATGTGAGTTAAGTTAGAGTAGTCTTGTTAAAAAAACTAAAAATATTTTAATCAAAAACATAAAAGTGGCCATAGCTTCAACAGACTATGGACTGGCTAAAAGCTAAGATCATATCCACGCTAATCCTCAAGTGTTTTGCATATGTATGAAGATAAGATTACCCACCCCCATGTCAATGTAAACCTATTGGTGGGAATAAGACTTGGTAATAAAAATGAAAAATTTAAATCTATTTATTTATGCATCACTTGATGGTCTTCACAGCTGTTTTGCACATTACTACATTTGAGCTTCACAAAAATTTTGTGAAATAATAACACCAATTGCATTTTAAAAGGAAACTAAGATAGAAATAAGTTGTACTATGGATGTAGACCCAAATCAGAATAGTTGCAAAATATAACAAAACATGACCTGACGAATTTTCATACTTGGAAAATGACAACCTACAAGGCCTCTGTAGTTTTGAATTAATGAATGAAGTCCCGTGCTTAGAATCTTTTAAATTGCTTAAAATTTAAGAAAAATCTTTGAAAAGCTATAAAAAAAATCTAAGAAATCTAAGAAATTTAAGACAAGCTATCTGCATTTCATTGCTTGAGATACCTCAAATTAAAAATTGAAGTAAAAGAAGATGAAACAAGTTTGGCATTCTGTTTATAAGGTCCCCAAGGATAAGAATCATGACATATATGACATAGATGAGGGCGCATGATCACTGATGGTGCCAGTGGCAACCTCCGTGGGCATTTTCAGCCTAGTTAATGCCCCATCCAAGACCTGCTCAGTTTAGCCTACCTCGCACACTTTGCTTTTTGGCCGTTAGCCATAAAACTCAGCTGCTGCCACATCCACCAGGAAAAAATGAGGTAGCACACTCAGACTCAGTAACCGAGGGGTTGTAGTAAGGTCATCGTTTACCAAGGTGTTGACACAGTTAAGAAGCAGCAGTAAAGGCCTATTCAGCATCTGAGTGCAAGCTACAGTGACGGTCTGTCACCACCCTTAGGCTGAGGGGCAAGGCAAGGAGGTAGTTACGGAATCCTAGAGAGAGCAGCTGTGTGGAGAGGCCCGCCTGACATACGACCTTCAGTGGAGGACACATGATGATCTGGATGCAGTGGAGCTGAGGGAACATCCACTACCTCCCTCTCTGCCCCTGACTCTGATCTGCTGGCGTTTCCATTGGCTGATCCCAATTAGGACCCAAAGGAAAACAGGGTTGATGGATGTAGCCCATAGAGGTCGGCCTCCCGGCGCACTCTGGATCTTCAGGGGGAAGGGGAAAATACCAAACACAGCGAAGAAGAAGAAATTCCACAACTTACACTTACAATCTTGCCAAAATTGAACAACTTTTCAATTACAGACTTAATCCATGTAATGTTTCTGTAAGATAAGAGAAAAATACAGGTAAATTGCATAAAACAAATATTTATAGAATAATTGTATCGAGTGATGAACCTTTAATTAAATCCAAATACTTGATTGAGCAAGTAGGCTATATAGAAAAGAAAGAGAGAGAGAACCTAGGTTTTTTTACTCAGCTATCATGATCCCAATAAGGACTTGTACTACCCGTTATAAGAGGCACTATGGCAACCAGGCTGAAAAGGGGTGGAGAAAGGAAAAGCAGCAGAATCTTGAGGCTACCGTGTGCTCACATATTGTCAAAAATGTACTTAGTGGTATCAGAAAACGTAGTTAAATAAAGAGAAGGTACCCAAAAGGGGTAGGTGGGGAAATAGCGAATATCTAGGTATATGGGTAAGGAAGATCAAAATATTTATTTAAATTAAAATTTTGATGTGAAATGTCTTCCTGTATACTTTTTAAATAAATTTACACATAAAGTAAAAACTGAAGGAAACAAAGTAGATTTCTGTTGGAAAAGCATGTATCTAAAATGTAGCTTTTTCAATATAAATTTGGAAAATCAAGTGACTATGCTGTCAAGCTTGAAACAGAAGTATGCCCCTGTAATAGGTTTTCAATACTAAAGAAAACAATTGATAATTAAATCAATTTTTATATTTCCTCCTGATTAATATTTGGGACACATTCAACCAGATAATAAATTAAAACCAGCATTAGAGTTAGGCCAATTTCTCTTTAGTAGTTATACTGAATTCATTTATTCACACACACACATTATTATGTTAATGGGTGTGTTAACTGTGTTTTCTTATTTGCAATATTCTGATGCTCTGGCCTCTGGGCCCTCTCTGACTGGGGAGATCTGTCCCTCCAGGACCAGCTAATTCATAGGGACAGCAGATGACTCACCTTTCATGTGCGAACGAGCCAGTCCACAGTCCTTGTTCTGCACACCCGCCTCTCTGGCTGTTTAGGAATGTTTCTCTGCAGTACACTCCCCAGGGTCGGATACCACTAGGCAGCTAGGGACAGCCTCTATACGTCAGAGCCCAGAGATTATTTAAACTAGCCAATTATTCTTCTTTTTAATTTTTTCTATTTAAGTATAGTTGATATACAATATTCTATTGGTTTCAAGTATACAATGTAGTAATTCAACAGTTACCTACATCATGGAGCCAATTCTAACGTTACCTCCCCTGCCCTGCCTTGCCCTTGGAAACCCTGATAAAGGCCCGTGCCCGTGCTTTCCCCTTGCTCCTGCTGCCTTCTGACTGGCCCTGGGGCTTCTCTGTGTGGCCCTGAGCAGTGTAGTGTGCCTCCTCCTCTTGGGCACTGTAGCAAACAATTTTTTCAGTGATAATCACCTCCTGATCTGTTGACCTCACCATACTGGAAAAATAATGAAATGTGCATGCTAAACAATTGATTCTAGACATTATTGTCTAACTCTTGAAGGAATTGTGTAATAAAAATTTTAGAGAATGCAGATTGACTCTGAATTCATGTTCTGGCTGTGTGACATTTGGCAATTTAATACAGCTTCCATGAATCTTGGTTCCTTCTTTGCAGAATGGGGATATTCCCTAGTAGATCAATTTGTCCTCTTTATGTTGCTTTCTGCATTTATTTTATTTATTTTCTGCATGTATTTCCCATTGGGAAATACAGATGACTTCCCTTTTCTGTTACCCGTTCACAAATCTGTAATGGTACATAGTTACAGTGTTGCTTACTTTCTACCAGCCAAACCAGTTCTGATGCAGTTAGGAGTTGACAGTGAAAATGCCACAAGGTGGCGGCAGAGTCAACACCATCCTGGGCGGGTAGTCCAGACACGTCTGAAGAAGGAAGCAAGCGACTTCCCACTGAACAGCCCTTCTGAGATCGGCATGGGTGCCGCTGAAGGTCTAGCACTTGGCCTGCGCTGCTTTGTGACTGCTGGCTCCTCAGAGGAGACACATTGCCATGAGGTTCCAGGGAACACAGTAAGCCACCGGCAGTTGTTGAGAACCTGGGTCAGCTTTCAGAATTCATTTTGTCGAGAAGCACTGGTTTTCTTTACAGTTCACTGTGGCATTCCACAAATACTAAATCTATTCCTGAAAATCAAAACATTTCTGAAATATTTAAAAATCAATATTACTCACAGTCTACGCTTGCAACCTTATTTACACTCATACCTCTATTAAAATAATATGTCTTTCATCTTGAAGTATTTTTAGATAGATCATTTGTAGCAATGAAGTCACTGGGACCACCATTCTTATAATTAAAGCAAAATCTTCCACATAGCACAGTATGTCCCTCTTGAGGTTTTCACTGCATTTGAGGGAGAAAGAATCAGTGAATGAAACCATCCGTGCTAAACTCTAAAATTTTGTTCCAGTTCTAAGGGTTGGGAAGGACTATACAAGCTGCCCCAGAGCTGCTGAATTCTAACAGCTCGACACAGATATGAATATAGACACAGAAATGCAGCACATACACACACATTCTAAATGAGAATTCAGAGGAGAAAAAATTAAGTTCTTTTAGAAGTAATCAGGAAATATTTTATTAAAATTATCTTAAAATATTTTAAAATTCAATTCCATTTTCATTATAACTTAAATGAAAATTTTAGTATAATACTACTTTACATAATGTGGTAAAATTTGTAGCCTCAATAACTTGGTGTGTCATGCTTTCATTCATTTACTGATTTTACTTAATGTATTCTTTAATTTATAACAGCAGCATAATGTAATCAAAGTCCCTTTGCCTCCCTCAAAAATATGGTATACTGGTTCCAGAATTTGCCCAATTATTCTGATGTTTGGTTCTATGAGAAATGATGGAGGAAAGGCAGCCACCTAGCCTGAAATCTTACCTTTTCCTTGTTGTGGGTATATACATATGAGACAGTTTAAGAAGGCTCTGATACAGTATTTCTGTTTTTGTAAGAATTCTTTATACATCATGTTCTCATCTCTTATCACAGGGATCCTCAAATACCTTTATGAAAATATGGAATAATATGACAATTCTTGTCCTGACAATTTTATGTTTATTTAAGAAAAATGAGTCCCTTGATTTAGTCAAGGCCTTGGGGCATAGGGTATTAGCCACTGTCCTATTCAAAATGATGCATTTATTCAGGGAAAATCTTAATTTACCTTGTCTTCCTCAGATGAAGGAGCCACAAGAATGCCTAAAAGAGGGAGTGATGTCCATTTAAAACACCTTTACTGAAACTCGATTCCTTGAGCCAAAGGAAGATCCTTAACTCTAGTTGACGGTACAAGCAGATCTTCTCAGGTACTGTTTCCAGGTGTCACTGCCCGACTCCCTGCCACCACCAGAGTGTTCTTCTCCCTCCAAATGCACCTGCAATCTCAGCCCCCAAATATAAAGCCAGTAGAAGCCGACCTGCTCTCTTTGGAGTGGGGGACAGAGGGGCCCAGAACCGCCCATTGAGCTGCTCTCCATTCCCTTGGCAGGTTTCACTGAGTCACACTAAGGGTCCTCAAAACACAGTTTGAATCTTAGTCACCTAGGGTATGATAAACTTGCAATAGAAGTGGCTCCACTGTGGAGCTTATTTTGCATAGAACTTGAGTTTCCTGGTAATATTCCTAAATTCCCTTCTCATGGTTAGAAAATGTATAGGGAACACCAATCACTGTAAGCGGGACAGCACTTTGGGCGACAGAGGAGATACCCTCTCTCTTCCTCATCCTCATCCTCTTGCTGAACCAACAAGTCAGAGAACTACCAGGGGCCCAGGTAACAGGCATAGGATGAGCAAAACTTCTGAAGCCACTCAGATTCTGATTTCCTGCACTTGTTACTGTGTTAAGTTTACAGATGTCATACGCTGACTTTTTAGTTGAATTCATGCGTGATCCAAGTTTTACAAATTAAGGTGAAGATTTTTCATTATGAAGTGTTCAGGGTGCTACTGCCATGAAAGTATGTATTTTCTAGGACACATAATACCATCTAAGCAAATACCTGACAGTGCCCAGGTCAGCAGATTTGGCTGATGAATGTCACAGGCCAAAAATTCTCAGGTTATAGAGAAAATGTGTGTCCATTTCTGTCATAGCTTTAGCTAAACTGAATCAGTACGAATGATTCAGGAATATATTTACAAAGCACAATCAGGTTTTCCATATTCTCCTGGTTAGACCAGACATTTATCTACTCATTAAAATGCATTTGTAACACCAAGTCATGACTTCCGGTGCTTGCACGGTCCTTCGTGGATGTGTGCGGAGCACTTGGAGTTGCCTGATTCGCATGTTCCCAGAGGAACTCAAACAAGGTGAAGTTCTGCCTTCTTGTTTCGGTTCTCATACTGTAATCAGGGGTCCTTTTCAGAGTATATTTAGTGCCAGTTTTTCACATTTTTTTGTGATTTTTATAATGATTTCACTATTTGAAATGGCCCCCAAGCATAGACTTGAAGTGTTACCTAGTGTTTCTAAGCACAGGAAAACTGTGATGCATCTCACAGAAAATATGTGTTAGGAAAGCTTTGTTAAGGGATGACATGTTAATGAATCAGTTTAGTAAGTAAGGTGTTTTTAAACAGAAACCCACACAAAATGAGGTCATGTATTGATCGGTTTTAGAAATGTGACCAGAGGCTCGCAGGAACCTAATCCTGTATTTCCCCAGGGACAGTGGTTCACTATTTGCTAATTTAGTGCATCTTTATAGTGCATAACTATTGCAAATAATGAGACTCACCTGTGCACTCCGTTGGCCCTAGTTCTCAACATTGGCTGGAGAGTAGAATCACCAGTGGAGTTGAAAAATAACTGACACTGAAGTTCCAATCTAGGAGATGCTTATAATTCCACATATACATCATCCCACATGAGTCTAAAATGCAGGTGGTCTTGAGAACAACTCCCTAGCTTGCTCTGTGACCACCACAAGGGATTGAATGCCTGCTTACACTTCCTTAGTGGAGACGCTCTTCGCAGGCAATGTGTGTTCTCAGGTAGGGATAACACTGGGAAAACGAGTTTATGGGTCTTCCTTGGGTCGGCTTTGTATTTTAATATTTAAATAAAGTGGCTTGAGCTCCTATAGCAAACAATGCCTTACTGTTAGATATCAGAATTTCTTCATGTCTTGAGCAGATGCCACTTTATTTCAGAAGGGGTGGTGGTCACAACCCAGTTCTAGCTAATGAGGTATATGAGAAATTCTGCTGGGGCCCTCAGAGACAATTTTTTCCCTTCACTGTTGGGAAGAAGCAAGTGGGAGAAACTCTGCTCCACTCCAACCAGCTACAGCCTGGTTTTAACTGAAGTTTGAGGAAGTAATGATATTTGTAGCCAATAGTTGAAGTCAGTTTGCATCTGTGAGAGAAAACCAGGAAAATTACAGGGTATACATCCCAGAGTTCTGACCAGCCCCTCCAGCTGAGTCACACAGACTCAGGAATTCTTTACCTTGCAGCTGAAAGCATGCCCACTGAGCTGACCCTCCCCTCCCCACAGAGCACTGGTAAGTCTGGCACAATGCCTAAAATATTTGAGAATTTCTAGAGGGCTTGTGCTCTCTTGGTCTCCCTTGTGTGGAATTCACAGTCGGTGCTCCCATGGCACTTTCCACAGATGCGCTTTCTTTCTATGCAGCTCTGCCCCACCAGATGGGGCCACTGCCTCCCTGTGTTAACCAGAGCACCACAGCCCAAACCTGGTATATGTGGCCAACTTGTATGAGAGATCTGGGAGCAAGAAGGGTCAGCACAGCTTGTGCAACACAAGAATAAACTTGTTTGTTCCTCAATACTAGGCACCACTGCCCGCACATCCTGGCCATCCCTGCTTTAGGGGATCACTCAAAGGGTCTCTTGGGTATCAACTTCCTTTGGAGATCCCTTCTTTAGAGATCTCATCCTCGTGACCGAGACATCTCAGATCCACTGTCTGCTGAATGGATGTTGAATGTGTGCACTCATGTGCACAGAACATGTACATACACATATATTTACACAAAATATTGGTAATATACTTAATATAATAGTGTAAGTATTAACAATTCCTATTTCTGGGTGGTACGATTGCAGAAAATTCATATGATCTTCAATATTATGTGTTTTCCTCCCAGAACTTCTACAATGAACAAATTATTTTAAAATAATTGTATTAAAATATTCTGTCATGCATGATTTCAAGGAAAAATCACTGGCATTCTAGTTGTATTTGACTGTAGTTTGCTCTTCACCATTTATTTTAAAGTAAAGTGAAAGAAACATGGCTAATCTATGCCTTTGAGGTAAAGGTGCTGCTTTAGCAAAAACATGTGCAAGTAACTGTTTTTTGAAAGATCCTAAGTATGGAGGAAGCATTTGGAGAAATAGATGTTTGGAAAATTTTTGAGTGACACCTGATTTTTTTTCCCCAAACTGTTATGTAGACTTTTATATACTTAAAACACACTAAAAACTAAGACTTTATAACTGACTTGGTGGAAGTAATCAAGAAATGAGTATCTTAACACTTATCTAATACACTAGCCAAAATTTCTTTTTATATCTAGACCTACTTATGCTTTTTGAACTATAAAGCTATGATAGTATCCTTTCAATAAACTTTTTTGCTAAATCAGACTATCAGCTTCTGCTTCTTGTCAAAAGCAATCCAATCTAAAAACTCAATTACATGGCTAGTTATTATAAAGTATTTCTGTATGTAACTAGCTTCGTTCTCTATTAATTGTGCATTCGTTGAGGCCTAGTACCATGTCTTACTCAATGTATGAGAATGCTGGCAGTCACTTCTTAGACAAATGATATGCCAGGTCTGGTGCTAAGTGCTTTGTCTTGTAGTCCATACTTGGCACAGCCTTAAGACATGGCATTGGTATCAGTCTCATTTTACAAGTGAGAAATCTGAGGTGATTTTCCTAAAATCACACTGCAATCAAGAGGCAGTACTGAGATGTGAATCTTGACATCTTGAGCTCCAGTCTCTGTGCTTAATCCCAACTCTGTTTTCCTAGGTTAAGGGCATATAACTTTACAGAGTAGGCTCTTTACTGATACAATATAGTAAACAAATGTAGGAACAGAATAGCAATTCTAGAAGGATTCCCTCATTAAACTAAATTCATCGTTTTCTTTGGAAAAGACCTTACTGCCATGTGTGGCCATTAAATTGTAGTTACAATTTGCCAAAAAGTGGCAGCTATGATTTTTACTACTTTTTAATTATAGAAAAAGCCAAAGAAAAGTTGGATAACAGTGGGAGTCTGTTATCTAGTCCTGAATTCCTATTTAAAGAATAGGTTGCTAAAAGGTGACTTTAAAACTGATGGAGACAAAAATGTTTCTTTTGAGTTTAAAAAGAAAAAGCACGTCTGGAAAAAAGGAAAAGATAAAGGTCAACAAAATTTCCTACTTCAAAGAGAAAGGAAACAGAAACTTACATTTGGAAAATAATGATGGTGAAAATGAAAGTTACTAGAAGAAACTTGGCAGAAGAAAACATCTATTCAAACAAAAAGCAGAAAATAAACTAAGTCATTATGCAAAACTGTAAGGAAAAAGAGGTTAAAGGATACATTTGGAGAGATGGTGGCTTGGCTTTTTTCCCCCTTAACCTCCTTCCTCCAGAAGGGGTCCCATCAAGATTATGGTATATTCCTTAAGAAAAGATTCCTTTTAATTTTCCTTCAAGTGCTCCCACCTATGCTCTGTCCTTATCACTCAGTGCTCACCCAGCAAAGTTACGCTTGCTTGAGAGTAAATGTAAATTGTTCTTGATGGATATATTATGTGATGGTAACTGTCAGGATAAGGAGAGGATATCTACATGGAAAAACACCAGAGAAACTATAATGTGCATTATTATCTAGATCTCACCAAGATCAGGAACAAGACACGGGTGCCTACCCTTCCCACTTCTATTTAGCACAGTGCTGGAAGTTCTGGCCAGAGCAATCAGACAAGGAAAAAAAAAAAAATCAGAATTAGAAAGGAAGAAGTAAAATTGTCTCTATTTTCAGATTACATAATTTTATACATAGAATCCTATAGACTCCACCAAAATCTAGATCTGAGCAATGAATTCGGTAAAGTTGTCAGATATAAAGCCAACATACAAAACTCAATAATGTTTGTATACATTAACAATGAATTATCTGAAAGAAATAAAATGATCCTATTTACAATAGCATAAGAAACAATAAAACACTTAGGAATTGAACTTAGAGCCTTCATACCATTTATCCTTATCTGGAACATTGTATATTTCTAGTGTTTCTTTTTTTTTCCTATTTACTGTTATCTGTCTTCCTATTCCCATTAAAGTATGAGCTCCATAAAAGTAGGAACTTTGTTCAGTTTTAACAACTGCACTAGAGCAGTGCTGGTCAGAGAGTAGCTCCTTAATAAATATTTCTTTGAATGAATGACATAATCTGAATACTAAACTTTTAAACGTTTACTTTTTGACCCTCTCTCACCATTCCCATGGTGTTAAGAAGATGACATCGTTTCCCCATATTGAACCAGCAATCCCTTCTTATCCCCCTGCATTTGAAACCGCAAGACAGAAGGGTGGGCATCGGGGACAGTGCTTTTTTGGTTTGTTTTATCTGTTTTTGCTTTAACAATAATGAAACCTGCTGACACCTGAGGCGTTGAAGGTTGGGGACTTTCTGGTAATAGCTCTAGAAGATACATTTGTAGACCCAGTAACTAAAATTAATAATGTGAATATTTCCGTTGAAATATCTAATTTGTCTTTTTCTACCTAGGCATAGGGTCAATTCCCAAAATTAAGAAACAACGGTGTTTTTTGAAGAAACAAGAACAACCATGCAAATCAGGCCCACCTACAAGACCAAGGTTTCCTTTCACTTCAGGAATTTTCACTGTGTTTGGTATTAGACCAGCTGCTAGAGTCAAGGTAAATACCCATTCAGGGGGAAAATCATCAAGGGCCTACTGTTTTGATTTTACTGGTTACTATGTAAATATGTCCTCTCCATGCAGCTTACAATCCTGCTGGGAAGAAAAAGGCTTAGCTTCATAATTACAGCATAAAATTAAATAACATGCCATAAAGTGCTCGATCGGATATTTTATATGCCTCTAGTAAATGCTCATAGACTGTATTTCTTTTACCCTGTGGAAAGCATGACCAGGCTTCCATGGCCAATGCAAACATCATTGAATGTGCTTTGCTAGTAGATGACTTTTCCTAACTATCTTTTTGATAACCTAAATAACTAACTCCTCCATCTTCTGTATAATTCTGGACAGTCAGGTTCTAATTATGAAGCATGTATATTACCACCCACAGTCACCAAGGGCCACAGGATGTGAATGAGTAACAACCTGAAGGATTCACATTTATGTGGCTTCTGTACTGAACTGAAGCTGCCATTTTTCAGTGTGTTTTTCCCTCATGACATAGACAAATGTTGATGTTTACTACAAGTTGGTACATTAGTTGCTAATTAAGTTCCTAGCTGCTTCAGCCAAAACTTGCTGTACTGAATCCAAGAAAAGAATGGCAGCTATGTAAAAAATAAGTTGTTAGGGATTTTGTTTTGTTTTATTAAAGGGAAGTTGTATATTAAAGAATATGGAGAACTTACACACTAGGAGATAGGAATCCTTAAGTCTTGGCTTCCTCCTCCTAAGCTGAGTTGTGTATCTGTCACCATTCCCTGGTCAAAGCGAAATAAACACTACAATCCATACTTAAGGCAGTAAAGTTAACTGTTTATCATTACTCACTCTTTTCACACCCACAACTTCCAAGAGGAAAGTATGTTCTTGGGGGCCGGGAGAAGGTCAGTTTCATGCTGGAAGGAGTGCAGACGTTACTTTACCTTGGCGTCCTGTGCTTACGCGCCTCTGGAAAGATGTCTTCATCTCTCTACCTGTCTGCCCCCTGGCAGTCTTCCCGCCCCGGGGGCCAGAGCCTGCCAGCATTGACAGTCAAGGGTGACTTCTTCCTGCTGGCAGCAGGGTCTGGCAGTTTCACTTCAGTTCTGGACCGGGGAGTCCCAAATAACACGCTTTCACACCGTCCACATTTTTGCTGACAGGGGGTGATGCGAGGCGGCTGTGAGTAGAAAGCTTGATTTTTGATGCAGAACCTGGGAAGAAAACAAAATACCCGCAGCAGGGACATTGCTGGAGCGTTGCCGTAGCATCGCTGCCCTGCTCGCTGGGAAAGAGAATCCGTCCTCCTTTCTGTGTCGCATGGGGCCCTGAACCAAAGGACTCTCCCCGACAGGCCCGACCGAAGGGGGCCTCCCCCCGCCCCCCGACAGAACAGACGCTCCCTGCCTGGGGATAACGTTTGGCAAGTCCTGAAGAAGAGAATCGAAACGCGAGCCAAAGCCAGCCAACTACAGGAACTGCCTGGCGGAGGGCCGGCCTCAGCTTCCCCGGAGTGTTCGGGAGGAATGCGCATCGCCGGGCCCGGAGGCCCCAGCTCACCTGCCACCTGCCCGGGCGCGACAGCGCCCCCACGCGCCGGCCTGGGGCTCCGCGAGCGGCCCGGTGATCAGGCACGTGGCTGCGGAGCCTCCCTCCCTCTCCAGGGCGGCGACGGCGCCGCACACATCCCTCCTGCCGAGCGGCCATCAGCCACCTGTCGGTCCACCTGGGAGAATCCTCTCCTTTTGCTGAGAACCTGCGGAAGATGTCGAATGCATATTCCGCAGACAAGAGTTTCCGCTCTCCCATCTCGGCTTCACACCCGGAGGGAACAGGGACATCCAGGCGGAGGCTGTACTGGACTGACTACCTGGGCTTTCTGCCTGCAGAAATGAGGGAGCAGATTCAGAGGCCGGCTGCCCCCGCCGGGAACCTGTGCGCAGTTGAACAGCTCCTGAGCACCTTGGAGAACGGGGTCTGGCCCCCGGGCTGGACCAGGAAATTTGTGGAGGCCCTGGAGAGAACAGGGAGCCGTTCAGCCGCCCGCTGCGTGAACCCCGAGCTCATCTCCGTCCTTTGCGAACACTCATGATGAGTGTCCCCAGCTGATGAGCCGCCTTCAGCCCACTCTGGTGGACACACTTGAGGTCAGAGATGTCGTGGATAGATGTGTGGAGGAGGACCTGTGAGCAACTGAAGACAGAAACCGGGTAGGTGTCAGTTCGACTGGAAATGGGCCTTTAGGCAGATTTTGCAACTCAGGGTTGACCCCATTCTCGACATTCTCTGACGTCTTTGAGTAAATTTGGTTCCCTCCTTCCTTGAGAAGAAAATATTTAGACACTTAAAAACATAACTTAAAAAAATTAAAACGCAAAGGGCTATTTTTGTAATCCCTTCCCTGAAACAGTCTACAGAGGAGTTAACTCTAGAATAATAATTGATAACATTTATTGAATAACTTAATATGTGCAATTACACTTACAAAATGTATTATCCGAGTTCCTGCTCACAATAATCCATTGAGGTTTCTGATGTCATTAACTCTATTTTACAAATAAGAAACTGAGGCAGGTTAAATAATTTGCCCATAGTTTCTCAGGAAAGCAGTGACAGACCTAGTGAGTCCTGATGGTGTGCAATTTATGTCTCCTTTCATACAGTTCCAAAGAACAGAGGCCGGCAAACCATTACCCATGGGCTAGGTCCAGTCTGCTACTGGCTTTTGCAGACCCAAAAACTAAGAGTGGTTTTTAGATTTCTAAATTTTAAGTGTTCATAAAGACAGTTTTATTAGAACACAGATGTACTCATTCATGTACATATTATGACTGTTTTCTGCTTTAAAAACAGTTGGACAGACCATATAGATCACAAAGCCTAAAACATTTGTTATCTGGCCTTTAGAGAAAAAAATTTGCCAATCGATAGCCTATATTATACATTATGACATTTAATCTTGGTCCAAATAGTGAAACTATTAAAACATACACACACAAACACACATACACTTTTTTTTAAATGAAATTTTCAACATTTTCTGGGAATCAAAAGTTGGAAATAATTCACTGAAAAAAATGTTGCCAGTTGTAGTTTTTCATATTAGTAAAGAAATAGTGGATTTTTTTTAGGTAGCATTTTGACAGGGTGATTTTTACAGGTGACTTTACACAATGTAATGTTCTATTGTTCCTTGTTTACTGATGAGTAAGGATGTACTGTGAAGTATAGAAATGCTGATCTATTTGAATCTGACTTACTCAGGGTGGTAAGTCAAAAACATCTTACTTTGAAAGGCATACAGGCAAATAAACCCAAGACTGAAAAGTCAAAGGCTTTGTCTAAAATGCTGTGATTCCTTCCTTCCTTCCTTTCTTCCTTCCTTCTTTCCTTCCTTCCTTCCTTCCTTCTTTCCTTCCTTTCTTTTTCTTTCTTTCTTTTGTATTCATGAATTTATTGTATCCTCATTAAAAGTTCTGAGCATTGGCCTCACATGAGCCTATGAATTGACTTTGTTTTTAGTGCCTATAAAGTTAATGTCCCTTTGTAAACTCTACAGCCATAGGGTGTGTCCAAAGACCCAAGCATGCATCAGATTTTGACAGTTGGTTTCCCAACAAGTAAATTACTTTACACTGTTGTCTGTAATGTCTATGTAGTTTTGTGTATTGAGAACCAGCTAGAACGCATTATAGTAGTCCAGCTGGATATGACAAATGTGTACATCACTGTGGCAGAATCTTAATTTGGAAGACAGTATGCAGCCTTCAAGCCAGCTGGAGATAGAAGATGGCATTTCCAGCCACAGTAGCTGTCAGGAAGTCCAGAAGCAACAGCGTCCAGTGACACCACAAAGCTGTTTGTGTTTGGTGGGGATGATGTCCCGATTGCCAGCAACACAGCACTTCTTCTTGTTTACTCTAAATACTTCTGCCTATCAGCATCACTTTTGTCTTGCCTGGATTGAATTTCCGCCAGCTCGATTTTATCCAAGTTCTTGATTCTGGCAAGCTTGGAGGCAGCTAGCAGTAATGCAAGGGATTTGACACAAAGAAGCTACAGAGTAAAGGGACATTTGTATACTGGTAGCAGTTCAGACCAGAGCAGCCCAAACTCTCCCTCAGATTCATATTTCAGAGGAGGCTCTGAAAGTTGGAGGATCCATGTATTTGAGGATCTCTAAAGATGAATAGTGTCTCTGTGAGATTCTAGAATAATTTTTGTACATATCATTTTACATGTATCATCAGTCTCAAAAATAAGCTATGGCAGGTGATGGGAAGGAAGCGGTAGGTTTAGAAGAATCTATTTTGATAGGGGTCATCAGTGGAAGTTTATCTATAACAGCAAGTGTAACGAGCAAAGCATGGGAATTTGGAATAGGAAGACCCGCGTTTGAGATATGTATTTCATACTATATGTGTTACTTTGGGCTAAGTATTCTCTGACGTCTTTGAGTAAATTTGGTTCCCTCCTTCCTTGAGAAGAAAATATTTAGACACTTAAAAACATAACTTAAAAAAATTAAAACGCAAAGGGCTATTTTTGTAATCCCTTCCCTGAAACAGTCTACAGAGGAGTTAACTCTAGAATAATAATTGATAACATTTATTGAATAACTTAATATGTGCAATTACACTTACAAAATGTATTATCCGAGTTCCTGCTCACAATAATCCATTGAGGTTTCTGATGTCATTAACTCTATTTTACAAATAAGAAACTGAGGCAGGTTAAATAATTTGCCCATAGTTTCTCAGGAAAGCAGTGACAGACCTAGTGAGTCCTGATGGTATGCAATTTATGTCTCCTTTCATACAGTTCCAAAGAACAGAGGCTGGCAAACCATTACCCGTGGGCTAGGTCCAGTCTGCTACTGGCTTTTGCAGACCCAAAAACTAAGAGTGGTTTTTAGATTTCTAAATTTTAAGTGTTCATAAAGACAGTTTTATTAGAACACAGATGTACTCATTCATGTACATATTATGACTGTTTTCTGCTTTAAAAACAGTTGGACAGACCATATAGATCACAAAGCCTAAAACATATGTTATCTGGCCTTTAGAGAAAAAAATTTGCCAATCGATAGCCTATATTATACATTATGAATTTAATCTTGGTCCAAATAGTGAAACTATTAAAACATACACACACAAACACACATACACTTTTTTTTTAAATGAAATTTTCAACATTTTCTGGGAATCAAAAGTTGGAAATAATTCGCTGAAAAAAATGTTGCCAGTTGTAGTTTTTCATATTAGTAAAGAAATAGTGGATTTTTTTTCGGTAGCATTTTGACAGGGTGATTTTTACAGGTGACTTTACACAATGTAATGTTCTATTGTTCCTTGTTTACTGATGAGTAAGGATGTACTGTGAAGTATAGAAATGCTGATCTATTTGAATCTGACTTACTCAGGGTGGTAAGTCAAAAACATCTTACTTTGAAAGGCATACAGGCAAATAAACCCAAGACTGAAAAGTCAAAGGCTTTGTCTAAAATGCTGTGATTCCTTCCTTCCTTCCTTTCTTCCTTCCTTCTTTCCTTCCTTCCTTCCTTCCTTCTTTCCTTCCTTTCTTTTTCTTTCTTTCTTTTGTATTCATGAATTTATTGTATCCTCATTAAAAGTTCTGAGCATTGGCCTCACATGAGCCTATGAATTGACTTTGTTTTTAGTGCCTATAAAGTTAATGCCCCTTTGTAAACTCTACAGCCATAGGGTGTGTCCAAAGACCCAAGCATGCATCAGATTTTGACAGTTGGTTTCCCAACAAGTAAATTACTTTACACTGTTGTCTGTAATGTCTATGTAGTTTTGTGTATTGAGAACCAGCTAGAACGCATTATAGTAGTCCAGCTGGATATGACAAATGTGTACATCACTGTGGCAGAATCTTAATTTGGAAGACAGTATGCAGCCTTCAAGCCAGCTGGAGATAGAAGATGGCATTTCCAGCCACAGTAGCTGTCAGGAAGTCCAGAAGCAACAGCGTCCAGTGACACCACAAAGCTGTTTGTGTTTGGTGGGGATGATGTCCCGATTGCCAGCAACACAGCACTTCTTCTTGTTTACTCTAAATACTTCTGCCTATCAGCATCACTTTTGTCTTGCCTGGATTGAATTTCCGCCAGCTCGATTTTATCCAAGTTCTTGATTCTGGCAAGCTTGGAGGCAGCTAGCAGTAATGCAAGGGATTTGACACAAAGAAGCTACAGAGTAAAGGGACATTTGTATACTGGTAGCAGTTCAGACCAGAGCAGCCCAAACTCTCCCTCAGATTCATATTTCAGAGGAGGCTCTGAAAGTTGGAGGATCCATGTATTTGAGGATCTCTAAAGATGAATAGTGTCTCTGTGAGATTCTAGAATAATTTTTGTACATATCATTTTACATGTATCATCAGTCTCAAAAATAAGCTATGGCAGGTGATGGGAAGGAAGCGGTAGGTTTAGAAGAATCTATTTTGATAGGGGTCATCAGTGGAAGTTTATCTATAACAGCAAGTGTAACGAGCAAAGCATGGGAATTTGGAATAGGAAGACCCGCGTTTGAGATATGTATTTCATACTATATGTGTTACTTTGGGCTAAGTTATTTAAGTTCCTTGATCCTAAGTTTACCTAGGAAAATGGACATAGTTTTTCCTCTCACAGTATTTTAGTGTATTTGAATGAGAAATCATGGTTATAAAATAGTTTTATAAATAATAGCTATTTTGATATAATGATGACTTTTCCTATCATTTATTTGGTCATATTTCCTTGTGAATTCAAAGTTTAAGGGTTTCAAGTGAACCTCCCAGATTGAAATTGAGATCTGCTTCTTAAAGTCCTTGGATTAAATTGTTATTCAAAGGAAAATCTATGTCTTTCATCTCTAAGAACCTTGCCAGGACTAGGTTTAGGGTTGACACTTAATAAGTATTGATTGATTGGGTTGATTTCCATGCTGTACACTTCTGTAGTAAGTGGGATCCACTGGTGAAATGTCTACCCAATGTAGAATGAATTTATATAGGCACCTTCTTCAGGGTTTCTGGTTTCATATATACAAAACTAACTTTTTATGGGGAACTAGCTCTTTAAAATTCTTTGTTTTCAATGTACCAGCTGTGCTTCCTGACTTAAAATTACTGAGAGTTGAGCTCTGCTGTATTAAAAAATCACTATTATATTTAACTAGCTGTCTAACGTCATTAAGAGGGAGAAAAAGCATTTTTATCAAACTTTACAATTGTTTTGGCAAGCCATTGCTTAATGGAAATATCACTGGTTTCTTCACTGGTTTTTGTTGGAAAGAACAAATATAGATCAAATAATTTAGAATATGAAAGCATTGAATTACATTACCCACACATTCATATTTATTCTGTATTCCATAAATTAGCTATCTAAGGTCGTTAAATGTCCATAGACATTTTTAACTTCATTTTCAGAGGAAGTAGGGGAGGAACATGAGTGGAAAATCATTATATGTCCTGTTGCAGTCTCAGGTCTAAATAGTCACCTCTCAAGAATTTCAGTAATTGAGTTTATATATTGGGAGCTAATATCTTTACTATGTTTTAGGAGAACAAATTAAGTATGAAAAAAAAAATGTGGCTATTTCAAAGGGAACTGGTCTACTTTCTAGCACCAAACCTGGGAAGACTTCTTAAAAATTCATACTCTTGATGAAGCTCCTAAAATTGCATAGGTATTATATGAAGTTCCACATTCAAATAAAATACTCCCAGGAAATAATGGCATACTGGTCCTCAAACTTGAGCTCATAAGGACAAAGCAAACTCAACAAATGGAATTCTACAGTAAAAAATAAATCAACTATTAATAGTTGAAGAAAATCTAGTGGATGTAATATGCTTAGGTATTTAATAAAAGATTCATTATAGTGCCTCACATTTTAGAGAAATTCTTCCTGATTAATTCTGTCAGGTGAATTTACAGCTGAATCAAGGACGAAATTGGTTGAATTAAAAGTAGATGCTCAAACCAGTTTTACTTAACATCTTTAGCAACTATTGCCTAAATTAGCAGATAATACTAAAGATGCTACAAACACCAGAGCAGACAAAGAATTTCTGTTACAAGATTAATAGAGTTAGAGAAAAGGGAGGAAATAAGCAAGAATCTGCTTAGAAAATGCTGTGGGAGAAGTAGATGGAAATCACCTAAATTTTATTAAGTCAAGTTGTCATTTTAATCACTTGTTGCCAGAATGTGAACTTAAAGTTGGAGACAATTATTACGTATAATTATAAGACAGGAAGGTGGTAATAGCTCTGAAGCCAACTGCCTGAGATCAAATTTATCTCTACCATTTACTAGCTTTGTAGCCTTAGCAATGTAACTGGACTTCTCTGCACCTTGCTTTTCTGATCTGTAGAATGAATTTATATTGGCACCTTCTTCAGGGTTTCTGGTTTCGTATATACAAAGCCTTTATAATAACATTATTAACTATTAGTTAATATGACTAACATACATTGGGTAGAGGTCATGCTGTACACTTCTGTAGTAAGTGGGGTCCATTGGTGAAACGTCTGCAAATGTAGATACTTTCCCAAGTCACCCGTAACAGCTAACACTGAATTTGTAAAGCGTTCCCTACATTGTTCCAAAAAATGAAAACAAATTCCTGACCCTAAAAGGTTATGGGATATATTGATAGGACTAGAAAATACACATATTTTATAGGAAACAATTAATCTAGCTAAACCATCCAGAGTACACCTGAGAAGACAGATGGATGTTGACAAAGACCTTTGAGAGTAGGTAAGTCAGTATTTCTCATCCAAGTTGCTGGTTAGAATCATGAGATGCTTTCAAAAAATTTTCTGGTTTCCCAATATAGACAAGTCATAATCTTTGAAGGAAGGTCCCAGTATTTTTTAAAGCTCCCCAGGTTAGTCTAATGTGCAGCTAGAGAAGCCTTGGAATTTCTTTTCAGTTGCCTCATTTGACACATGTAGAAACTGAGGCCCGGAGAGATGCAGTGGCTTGTGCCATTAACACAGCAAGCTGATAATGTCCTAATTTCTTTCTTGTCTACATGTGGCTTATATTAGTCTTTTCTCCAAACATTTGGTGCTATATTAGAAACTGGGGAGATGCACTTGATAATGATTATACAAGTTATTCACAGTTAAAAATACTTGCTGGATCAATCTAAAAGGGAAATTAAATAAAGGTTAAAGATTATAATGAATGGACATAGAAATAATTCTTCCACATACTTTAAAAAAGGAATAGATACAGATATAAAGTTGCCTTATAATATTAAATAAATACAAATTTAAGAAAAAATATTATAGTAATAATAAATGTTGCAGTTACTAAATAGGCAAGAACATAAATTTTGTGATAGTAATTACTTTATAATGGTAATTACAAAGAGGAGTTGGATAAGAAATGTTTCATTTCCTATTTGTAGACCCCATGGGTTGAAAAGAAATAGCAAGCCCCAGGCATACAGAAAGAAATTGATGCAAATAGACATGACATAGCTGGGGAGTAAGATGCTTTCTCCTGTACCCCTTTTTCAGGACTTCTGAGGTTAAATTTATTTCCTAAGTGTCAGGTTTAACTATCTCAATGGCTTTAAAAATGGGTACGTATTTAAAAGGGGGCTTGAACCAGATATTTTCTTCTCCCTTCAATTCCCCTTATTATCATGAGTGGCATCCTGTTTTCTTTAGTGTTTGAATATATGCCTTACTGAATATTTATGCTTAATTGCTCAATTTTTCTAAAGGCTAGTTCCTGTTTAAATGTGTTCAGAAGATGTTTGATATTCTTTAATTCTACTTTTCTCTTAAAACAGATTGTTGCTGCAGAAAACATTGGAAATGAATCAGGTATAAGAGAGTTACTGAAAAGGATCATGGAGAAACAAAACTGGTTTTCTACATTTCTGACTATTCTACATTCTAAACGGGATATGATGGGCTTGTCCAAGAGCTAACGGCACCAGTTGCTTTGAAAGGTATTTCTAATTTTGCTAAAGAAGAGAATGTACATTTTGCCTCATGATTGGGAGTTCAATGAAACCTCTACATAGACACAATGCCAAACACTAAGATAATTTAGAATCAAAATTTCAAAACTGGACATGATTTGAGAGATCCCATTTCATCCCCTTCACAAATGAGGAAGCTGCTGCCTGGGAAAAGATTAGCTTACCAAAGATTACAAAACTCAGCAAACTGGCTCAAACGCTGAATGCTGACCTCTAGTCTAACACTATTTCCACTACCCGTCTTATTTTGGAAACAAGGTAATTGCCTGATATTTTGTCAAGGTAACTTTAACATGGAATAGACACTAACTGGAAGAAAATATTTTAAAGGTCATTACAACTCTGTTGCATAATATCCTGGACATTCATACAAATTTTAAGGAATTTATTAACAGTTGCTTAAAGACTTGTAATTGAAAGCCTTTATAATAACATTATTAACTATTAGTTAATATGACTAACATACATTGGGTAGAGGTCATGCTGTACACTTCTGTAGTAAGTGGGGTCCATTGGTGAAACGTCTGCAAATGTAGATACTTTCCCAAGTCACCCGTAACAGCTAACACTGAATTTGTAAAGCGTTCCCTACATTGTTCCAAAAAATGAAAACAAATTCCTGACCCTAAAAGGTTATGGGATATATTGATAGGACTAGAAAATACACATATTTTATAGGAAACAATTAATCTAGCTAAACCATCCAGAGTACACCTGAGAAGACAGATGGATGTTGACAAAGACCTTTGAGAGTAGGTAAGTCAGTATTTCTCATCCAAGTTGCTGGTTAGAATCATGAGATGCTTTCAAAAAATTTTCTGGTTTCCCAATATAGACAAGTCATAATCTTTGAAGGAAGGTCCCAGTATTTTTTAAAGCTCCCCAGGTTAGTCTAATGTGCAGCTAGAGAAGCCTTGGAATTTCTTTTCAGTTGCCTCATTTGACACATGTAGAAACTGAGGCCCGGAGAGATGCAGTGGCTTGTGCCATTAACACAGCAAGCTGATAATGTCCTAATTTCTTTCTTGTCTACATGTGGCTTATATTAGTCTTTTCTCCAAACATTTGGTGCTATATTAGAAACTGGGGAGATGCACTTGATAATGATTATACAAGTTATTCACAGTTAAAAATACTTGCTGGATCAATCTAAAAGGGAAATTAAATAAAGGTTAAAGATTATAATGAATGGACATAGAAATAATTCTTCCACATACTTTAAAAAAGGAATAGATACAGATATAAAGTTGCCTTATAATATTAAATAAATACAAATTTAAGAAAAAATATTATAGTAATAATAAATGTTGCAGTTACTAAATAGGCAAGAACATAAATTTTGTGATAGTAATTACTTTATAATGGTAATTACAAAGAGGAGTTGGATAAGAAATGTTTCATTTCCTATTTGTAGACCCCATGGGTTGAAAAGAAATAGCAAGCCCCAGGCATACAGAAAGAAATTGATGCAAATAGACATGACATAGCTGGGGAGTAAGATGCTTTCTCCTGTACCCCTTTTTCAGGACTTCTGAGGTTAAATTTATTTCCTAAGTGTCAGGTTTAACTATCTCAATGGCTTTAAAAATGGGTACGTATTTAAAAGGGGGCTTGAACCAGATATTTTCTTCTCCCTTCAATTCCCCTTATTATCATGAGTGGCATCCTGTTTTCTTTAGTGTTTGAATATATGCCTTACTGAATATTTATGCTTAATTGCTCAATTTTTCTAAAGGCTAGTTCCTGTTTAAATGTGTTCAGAAGATGTTTGATATTCTTTAATTCTACTTTTCTCTTAAAACAGATTGTTGCTGCAGAAAACATTGGAAATGAATCAGGTATAAGAGAGTTACTGAAAAGGATCATGGAGAAACAAAACTGGTTTTCTACATTTCTGACTATTCTACATTCTAAACGGGATATGATGGGCTTGTCCAAGAGCTAACGGCACCAGTTGCTTTGAAAGGTATTTCTAATTTTGCTAAAGAAGAGAATGTACATTTTGCCTCATGATTGGGAGTTCAATGAAACCTCTACATAGACACAATGCCAAACACTAAGATAATTTAGAATCAAAATTTCAAAACTGGACATGATTTGAGAGATCCCATTTCATCCCCTTCACAAATGAGGAAGCTGCTGCCTGGGAAAAGATTAGCTTACCAAAGATTACAAAACTCAGCAAACTGGCTCAAACGCTGAATGCTGACCTCTAGTCTAACACTATTTCCACTACCCGTCTTATTTTGGAAACAAGGTAATTGCCTGATATTTTGTCAAGGTAACTTTAACATGGAATAGACACTAACTGGAAGAAAATATTTTAAAGGTCATTACAACTCTGTTGCATAATATCCTGGACATTCATACAAATTTTAAGGAATTTATTAACAGTTGCTTAAAGACTTGTAATTGTAACACATCTCAATATTTCTTCTGTGAATTTTTTTAATTCAATTATAATAAAAGTAACATGGTATAGCCCTTTCACATACATTATTTATCAAACTAATGTAAACTGCCATTTTATTTTTCTTTATGGAGTCTGTACCCTATGTTTTCAAAAATACTGTATGTACGGCAAATTGAATGTTAATTGGTAATGAATGACTTAGATGAATTACAATCATTTCAAGCTTACTTCACTTCTATTCATTCAGTCATTCAGTCAGTCATTCAATATGTAATAAGTGCCAATGATGTGCCTGACATTGTTGTAGGTGCTGGAGATACCAACTTAATTGAGACATATAAAGTCCCTATTCCCATATACCACACTGTCTAATAGAAGAAGATACACAGTTGACAACTTTTTAGTTACTTATGCAAAATGAAAAGTTACTAAATTATTAAACAACACATATTTTTATGCTGTATTATTTAAGAAATAGGTTAATTTTGCCCAGTACTTAGGAATATACATACATATATATATATATATGAGAAAGAGGAAGTAAGAGTCAAGTAGTCAAGTATTTTTACTATGAGATATTAAAAAGTTCTAATGACTTCTAAAATGGCATTAATGGACCTGTGTACAAATGAACTGTGGGAATTGATATCTAGGCAAGGTCTTTTGACTTCACCCCAAAGCAAATGCTGTGCAGTATCATCTGGTCAAGACCACCATGATGAGATACACTCAAAAGGCCTCACAGCTCTCCCTTCTCTCTGGAATTATCTAAGGGTTTAGGGAAAGGGGATGCTGACTCTGTCAGAAGTGGCTAATCCCACTTCCAAAAGCCTGGCAGTAATTCCATGATCTCTACCAGCAGGTTCCATGGTTTCTACTGTCATTGCTTTGTGTCCACAGCAAAGTCTAACTATACAAAAAGTCCTTCTCAGTTGTAAGCATCTTCATTTTGCTTCAGTCTCTGGAGGGGCCTCAGCAGTGCCACTTACTTGTAACATCAAGATTCTGGTTTTTTTATGCTTATACATTATGGCCCAGCCGTTGTCTCCACAGCATAACTCTAAGATCAGTTTGCTGAGTCTGAAGGGACTTACGGCCAACGTTACAAACAGTGATGGGGCCAGATTGTTTCTGCACACTGCAAGGATGAGCTGGACGCAGTCGACAGAACTGTCATGACGAGTTCCCTTTCAAGACTTTGTGGGAAAGACCATGTCCACCCCTAACAAACAGGCTAGGACTCAAACTTCAAAGAGAAATGGCTGCCATCTAGACCTTTTTATTTCCCAGGGAATTTTGTCCCCAGTGTGTCAAGGGATATTAGAGAGCCATTTGGATCACAAAAGACCTCATACCCATCTCCCAAATCAGGGAATACTTACTCATTTTACAGTCATGTGCAGTGGCACACTTGCTTAGGAAAGAATCCAGGAGATTGGCTCTCTAGTGTCTTCTAGATTCTCCTGACATAGACAATGTCTGGCCATATTTCTTTATATTTTTAAGTTCCATTTTAAAAGGTGACTTATTAGAAGTTTAATGTAAATTTTAAAATTATAATATTTTTGAACAATAGCAATCTAGGCAGAGTATATATAGTAAATCCCATGTGATATCTATATTATAACATACCTCATTACATAGATCTTCCACTTTTCTTTATTATATGCCATAACTTTGTATTTTGATTAAGCTCTTATTTTGATTAAGTCTGTTTCAGAATGACTTAAGGGACTAGAATATCCAAATTCTCCCAGCTCACACACATATCCTGGCTGGCCAAGGCCAAGTGCTTTATGAAAGGAGGAAAAGCCTTGTGAAAAGAAACAATGTGACACAAATTATTCTTCACCCTCTTCCCCCTCCCCGTACCACATCAGGATCCTCTCATAGCTGGGGCTTCTCCCTCGTTCAGCCAAACTGGGTGATGATGGACAGTGACTCAGCTATGTGGGCTTTTGCGAGGGCAGGAGCAGAGTACAAAGGGGTCTGTGACCTTCCTTTGAGTGTTGGATGGAAAGTGGCAATCTCTCTGTGGGGCTCAGTATTCTTACACTCCAACATGCCATCAGGTGGTTCCTGACCAACTCATCCCAAATCAGTAAGGTTTACTTTTCATTTCCTCAGAAAATTCCATCAGAGGAGGCAGGGGGGTGGGTGAAGTTTTGCTTGCTGAGCTGTACATCTTATTACGGGACTCTGAGCATTTTCGGGCAGGCCTTAGTGAGCAGAACGAAGCTAGCTGTTATTATTCTTGTGGTTAGAAGCTGCCATGGACTGATTATTTCCCCCCAAATTCATATGTTGAGGCTCTAAGCCCCACTCTCCCCACTGTGGCTGCAGAGATGGGGCCCACGAGGAGGTAATGAGGGTTGAATGAGGTCAGAGGGGTGGGCCCTAATCTGATAGGACTGTGGCTGTGTGAGAAGAGGAAGAGAGATCTCCATTTTTCCTTCTCTCTACCATGTGAGGATACAGTGAGAGCTGGCCTTCTGCAGCACAAGGAGAGAGCTGTCACCAGACACCAGCTCTGCCGGCACATTGATCTTGGGATTCCAATCTCCAAAACTGTGAGAAAATAAAATTCTTGCTGAAGTTGCTTAAGCTACTTAGTCCATAGGATTTTGTTATGGTGGCCCAAGCTGACAGACACGGGAGCATAGGCTCTGGATCCTGACGTTTATTGAATCTGGGCTCCTTCACTCCTCTGGACGTGTGACTTTGGCCAAAGATTGCCCTCTCTAGGTCTCAGTTTACCCCTCTGTGAACGAGGATAATATAACTTATTACTTAAGGTTATTTTGAGGATTAAATTTAACATTTGTAAAGTGCTTATATGGTAGGCACAAAATAAGTACAAAATAAGACACTCATGATTATAAACCCCAAACATACTAAATAGGTACTTGCAAACATTGTCATGCTGTCTAAAAACAAAGTCCGAAGTCACAATGGTTTTCTTCAGGAAATTCTCCATACACAGGACATATTTCCCCTTATTCGTTAAATGGACTAATCCAAAATGATACTTAAAGAAATTTCTTTATAGCATCAGTCTTGTCCGACTGACTGTAACTTCAGGACAGAAATTCTTGTTTTTCTTTGTAACCCACATTGTTCCTTAAGAAAACATTTCAATACATGTTGGTTGAAGGAAGAAAGGCGGAGAGGAGAAACGGAGGGAAGGCGGGAGGAAGGGTACAGAATATTTCATGGAATTTCTAAAAAATCTCCAGAAATTTAGAATACATGAATTTAGGCTGACATTAAAGCATATGTACATCTCATGTGGAATGCACAGAGAGGGAACGAAATGGCAGGAGCACAAGCTAAAGAAAAAACACCACCAAATTTGCATTTTCATTAATTCAGCCTTAAATCACCTTTGTATTACTAATAAGTGGCTTACTTCCCAAAGGTAATGGTCAGATAGGAAATCATTGCATTTTTCTTGTGATTAGCATAAAACTTATTGTTTTTTAGATAACATGTAATCATTACAAAGGAACTACTCACTGTGTCCATGTTAAAAATAAAAGTATTGTGTCATAGCAAAAATCAGGTTCCAAGCCTTTTAAAATGTCAAACTATTAAAATTCATTCAGACAGGCTTCTACTAGGGACCCCTACTTGGTTTTCAAAATAACAGTAACAGTCATGTGCACTGTATAAAATTTTACATTGCACTTCTGTTTATATTGTAATACTTTTGTTCATAGAAACTGAGAATTTAACACAAGATGGTCCTGAAGTTAAAGAGTCACATCTTTTAGCTGCAGTTCAGCCAAGTCCAGAGAAAGAGGCCTGGGACGTGGAGAATAACTCACTGGAATCATCTTTTATGGATTCTTATATAGTTTCAGATACTTGGAATGCATACATACTTTACATACACTAATTACTACTTCTAGAAAAATCAGTTCATTGGTGACATCAGGATCTGTTAAACAGAGAAGATTTGGACTTTGGGGTTTTGTGAGTATTTTTTTTATTAAAATAAAACTTCTAGAAGAGATTAAATAAAAATAGTTCTCTGTGACTAAAAATGTTTCCAAAACTAATGCGATATTAATCTATTATGAATACGAACACACTTGGTTCTAATTATACTTTTTAAGATATTCATGTTCCTTGTAATGTGGTATCATAAGCATGCCTTGTATTTCATCTACTTTCAAATATATTAATTAGTTTGATTCATAAAATGCTATGAGAATTAAATAAATTCAAATTACCTTTTCTCTCTTTTATATACTGCTATGTCTAAGAAAGATTCAGCTAGGTCATAGAGATCAAACCTAAGGCTGTACAAAGAAAGGTGAACAGGTAGGTGCTCAACTGGGCTGGCTTGCATTGCAGTAACTAATTAGTGTGACAACTAGATATGTACCACCAGAATATCAAGCATACCTGAAATAATCAAATGGTTTAACTATGCTCCCCTCCATAATTTGCTCATGATAGGAAAATTCTTCTCTTTTCTCCCCTCCCCACTAAAGGGCCAAATTTTATTCTCACAAGAAATAGCTATATAAAAGAAATCATTATTTAAATCTTTAAAACCTTGTGTATGCTAGTAAATGTTTAACAAGTAGCTTTCTGGGGAAAAGAAAAAAAAAAAGCCCTGATTTGTAGCATTTGCCAATTGCTATGATGTAAATATTCCCACTAAAGCTGATTTCAAACCTGCAACGTATCACTGAACACAAAGTTGGGAAGACACGTGCAGTAGCATTTCAACCATACAGATACAATGGATATAAAAATAGCCTCAATAGCACAGATATTAGTATAATACAGGCAGTTGTCTAAGAATTTATGGGTTTTAAGTAATTATGACATTTGTTTTAATTTATTTAGCTGTAAGTTTATATAACTTAGTTTTTTAGAACAGCTGTGCTTAACAATTGACACAAAATTCCTGAACTTTTAGCAATTGGCTCTTGTGAGCCAGTATAAGCTGACTCCATCACACCACTGTGAAGTTTACTATTTTCTAATCAGAAAAATAATATAGCTGCACTAGGAAATTTGCAAACATAGAAACCTACAAAGAAAAATATCACTGATTATCCCACAGTATAGCTAGATATATTACTCTTAACATTTGGGTATCCACCCTTCCGGTCTTTTTATATATCTGGATGTTTATATATGATGGCATTTCTCCAGTGTTCATTAAATACTCTTCTACATTGTGTTTTTTAACAAGTGAATAACAGTCCTACCCACTGGCTGCTGTATAATTAATTAACCAATTATTGAACATTTAGGATGTTTCCACATGTTTCTACCAGGTGAATAATGCTGCAATAACTTTCTTTGTATTTATGTCTCAGTTTAATTTTTATAAAAATTGTTTTATACCTGGAATATCTGGATCAAATGATTTCCACATCTAAGACATTTGATACTTATTCACTGCAGGATGTTTTACCAATTTTCATGACCTCTAACGTACAGAAAAGTGTCTATTGCCCTCAAGTCTCTTCTGAAGAAAATACATTTCTACAAAATATAACTTTCAAACTTTGTCAATTTGGCATTTTGCTCCTTGAATCTGAATTTTTTTTATTTCTAATAAAAAACACATTCACAATATTATCCTTGTGATGTTGCTAGTTACTTATCTCTTTTTCTGTTGAAGTATTCATATTCTTCTTGCTGGCTTATATGAACTATTTAGATATATAAAATAGCAATCCTTTGTCATAAATAATATCAATATTTTTTACAGTTTGCTTGCTGTTGAGCCTTGTTTATGGTGCTTGACTTTTTTAAAAAACTACAATGCTTCTGAAGCTTTCATACGCCTGTGAATCACCTGAGGAGAGGTCTTATTAAAATGCAGATAAATTCAGTAGGTCCTCTGCTGGTCTGAGAGTCTGCCTTTCTCCCAAGTTTACAGGTGAGGCTGCTTTTACTGGTCCTGGGCCACATTTTAGAAGCAGGGTTTAATGCATTAGAATAGCAAAGCTTTCTGAATTCTAACCTGAATTCTATAGATTTTTTTTTTCATTTGAGCAGTTGTACTTTTTTTCAGAAATCATGATTTTTATTGGAATGTGAAAATCTACTGTCTGCATGTGGGTTTTTCACATTTTGAGATAACTTCCTTGGTAGACTATCTCCCATCTCTATGGGTTGCTGGCTATTTTCTAAATCCACACTAGAAGGAACTGAAGAGGGACTGAGGCTGGGGGATGATCCTGCGTATCAAATGAGGGTTTTTCACCCAAAGTTTTTCAGCTTGCTAAGGTTAGGCACCCTGGGTTGCTTGATGTATTGTGTCAGCCTGTAGTTTATCTGTCTGTGGAGGAATCTGAGTTTCAAAGTGGACACAAGTGAAAGCAAACTAAAAAATTTGTATTTTCTTACTATTTAATGTAAAGCTTAAAGCTGCTTCTTAGGATAAAAAATATCGATCTTATCAGCCTTAGGGGACAAAAAGGGGTGTTTTATTCTTGGGTTCCCTTTTACTTCTTTCATTTAACAAATATTTATTTAACTCCTGTCAAGTGCTAGGCATGTACTGCATAGTGTTCAGCTCTGTCAATGCAGGTGGGGAGCGTAACAGAGGCAGTGTCAGCCCTCATGAAGCTTTCAACTGAGGGGCCTGTCAGCCAAACCATAGTTGCTATACAGCTGCACAGCAAGTGCTATGTAACCATCACACAGCAAATGCTATGCAGGAAAAGTATAGACTATTGCAATACAAACTAGTCTGAGAACATATGAGAGCATAGCAAGCTACGGAAGTCTAAGGACCCCATCCAATTCCTAGATTTTAACTAGTCTGCAGAATCTTTGTGAGGTCTGGACTTCTCATGAGGATTTGGGAGCATGTTGGTCCAATCCATTCTGGCCTTTGCAGAGCAGTGAAGGGTGACTTATTTGTGAAAATGTAATGCCTTTGCGCTAGGCCTTACACTGCTACTGTTAGATGCTATGGGTCATTCCAAGTTTTCTTATTTCTCTTCAGAACCCAGAATTATTTATATAAATAATTTATGAAGTATTTATTAGCCCAAAGAGTTATTGGAGTTCTTTTGATTGAAGTGTTTGTTGCAAAGTGTCCCCTAGAAGATTTTGCCTACATTATCATACTTTGATAGAGTTAACAATCAAAATAAATATGAAAATATTCCACAGTTCCTACTAAGAATTGCACGGTTTTGTTTATGTATCTTATCCAAATTGATAAGATATAATCTTTATTTTGAATTCTAATATATTGGGCTAAGAGTTCAAGTATAATTACCAAAGTAGCATGGAAAGAAACATATTATGGAAACTGCACACATTCTATATATATGAATTTTCCTGTGCAGAAAGAAAATAGTGTCACTCAAATTATTTCTAATTTTAAGTTAAAATATCTCTAACTTTTATTTTTGAACCAGTTTCTAAATTTTTCTTTTTCAATGCATAGTAGCCTTGGTGCATACAAATGTTAATTATTTATGGTTTTAATGAAATGTTTCTTTATATATTGCTTTTTAGCCTTTCTTTACTCCTTAATATACCTTATGGGTAAGACACACTACCATTAGTAACAGTGGCCCACCCTGAAACCAACTTTGACCTCTCCATCCTTCACCCTGGGAGTGATAGATCAGAATTCCTTTATGGATTGTTCTGGAGAGTGATTTTGTTAAACCTCCACAGTGGGGGCTGGCATTTCTTCACCCTCCCTCCTTCCAACTGCTTCCCATGAGACAGTGGTTGATAATTAAGATATACCAAAATTTTTTTGTTAATTTGCCTTCCAAATTTACACAATAATTTCTAAGAGACATTTGAATAGTTGTCAGATTACCAGTAGAATTTTATTGCTGGGTGTTATCAATCTGTCTTCTGAAGTCACTGGTCACCGTATAACCAGAAAATATTGGAACACTTCTGTGTTTCTCTAGACCACACTTCCCTAGTAAACATCAGAGGGACACAGAGCCCACATTCATCTTCTTCTATTAAAAGTATCTTAATTATAGCAAACTCACAATAATATGGATTATTGTAATGCTATACGCTGACAGAAAAATTGGGTTGTAGAATCATTTTTGATGATCTGCTGTTGTGCTTTGTCAAAATAAGTGAATAGTTATTTTACATAGACCTTAATTTTTATTATACTATTTTAAGAATTAATGTTCTATTGTAAAATAAAAGTAAAGTAAATGAGATTCAAAACAAAATCCATTTTATTATATCTGGAATGAACTTACTTTTACACAGAGTTCCGCAGAAAATCCCCCCAAATTCTTTTATCTTTCTGTGCTGAAACCTTCCCTTTATGAAACTAGAAAATTCAAATACCTCAGGACGGCCAGCAGAGGGCACTTTCACCTTTATAAAGAGAATGGAATGTCGCTGTTAAGTGTGAAAGATTATAACGTTAAGTGTAGAGTTTATGTGGGAATATACAGTGCGCATGACTGTGAATGCGTGTGTATATTTTGATTTATATATTCGTTCACGTGAAGATTTTAAAATTCCACCCCAGCTAATGAGCTTACCAACCTGCTTGTTTTCAGACTTTAATACCTTCTTTTTCATATTCCCCCATATGTTCCACTCCTTAGGTTTATCCGGTGACATTATGCTTTGGAATATATTGTGGATATATTTTGCATAGATCATGTTCTGTAGGAGGGGTTTAAAAATTGACCTTTATAAAACAGCCTCCTTCTCCCTTGCCCAATCTGTTTTAGCACTGTTTTGTTGTTGTTTTCTTTTGCCTTTTTATAGACCAAAGTCCAATCTTAGATTTGGTCTATACTGATTTCTGTAAAAATGCCACAAAATTTATCCTTGCACTTGCGGACCAGAAAAACATTTTGTGGCACTAACCTGTAGAAATCTAGAGATTTTTAGAATCTCTAGAAATAAGTACCTATAGGACTTGAAAATTTAGTAGAAAAGATAATTGATGCAGCAGTGCACAATAATACTGTTTCAGATTCATGCACGGTTTCAATTAAGGTAGCTCTTTATCTGTATTTTTCTAGATTATTGGGAACCAGAATATTTATCATTGAGGCAGTCAAAAAAGGAAAACCTTAATTTTAGCTGAGAAAGCGTAAGAGAGCGAGCTGCTACTCCTGATGTGGCTGTTGGTGTTTGTTAAAGGATAATCTAGATTTGGGTTCCATTTGAAACCTACCGGGAGCCACCTGAGTTGGTTATTTCACTTTCAACTGTGTAATTGTTCTGGGAGGCTTAGGGTTCAGATCTCAGGAATGAGGACATCTGCATTTTGATGGAAAGAAATCTCCCTAGCATGCAGCTAATACATGCTGGGTTTATTTTCGTGACATCCTTTTATGGCTGCCTCCATAGAACTTTTTTTAGCAGTTCCACAAATGTGATCAATTTAATTTCAATTTGATTATTAGACCTTCCCTTCTCTATTTTGGCTAGTGCATGAGGACTAGAAGCCAGAGGTTTAGTTGGCCAGGTCATATTATTGAGAGAACCAAGTACTGAGGTATTATCCTCACCTTCAAAGCATTCATAATGCAGTCCAGGAAAACAAGTTGTGTCCCCAAAGAGAAGCAGCAATCTATCTAGAGCAAAAGAGAAAGTACTGAAGTATGCGGAGTGAGGAATTGGAAGGAAGACTTGGAGAAAGCTTTCCAGAGGGGGAATAGGAGACATTTCGTGTGAGCTTTGAAGGGCCTGTGTTAGATTTGTAAACAAAAGGGGAAGGCAGCATTTCAGACTGCATGAACATCATGAGGGAAAGTGCAGGCATGGGAAAGTTAAAGATATGTTCAGTGTGGGGGATGTTGATGATGGGGAAGGCTATGCTTCTTGGGGGGAAAGGAGGTATATGGGAAATCTGTACACCTTCCATTTAATTTTGCTGTGAGCCAAAAACTGTTCTGAAAAATGAAGTATAAAAGATCAATCCAGCTATAATAAATACATCAAATTCTGGCTCTAATGAACACAGCAAAATTCTATAAAAGAATTTGTGTAGGGGAGCCATTTAATTAGAGGAGAACATTTATGGAGGAGGTCAGTGAGAGATAAGACTTGTGGGACCAATGAGAGTTAATGGGTTTTTCAAGTGCTTTTCCTAAGGCAAAAACAAAACAAAACCCCAAAACCCATGCTCTTAAAAGTGTTTCATTCGTTGTTTGGATGACTATGAAACACTAGCTCAGTGTTCATTTCATGTGTTTCGTTTCAGGTGTTTGCAGGCAAGTCCTGAGTTAGAGGGATGTAGCTGCTGGGGTGCTAGAACTGGCTTATGCTGGTTTGCAGGAGCCAAATGTGCCAATCTTTTCCCATCTCCACTCAGTGATGTCCCACTGGTAACTCGAAATCAGCCATGGTGGGAGTATTTACACCATTGACTCTAGCAAATACTTTTAAATTGTGTTTCTCCCACCAAAGAGCTGATTATTGAACATTTACTAGGATACCCTTAAACGTATCTCTCCCAGTACTGTACTCATGTTTGCTTAAATCTGCTTAACTCAAATTACTTTCTTGAAGGACACCTATCAACCAAAGTTTCCACTTCATCCTTTCCTATTTTGCCATTCCCAAACCTTACTGTCACTAAGACTCACTTCCCATGTGGTCATCTGCCTTATCACTCGTAACTGACTCCACTCGGGCAATTTTTGCCTCTGGTCCTGGCAGTCACAGGTCATTCTAGTGGGCACGGTTATCTGCACCACCCTGTACTCGAGACCCAAGTCCCAGTGCTAAAGGGCATAGATGATACAATTTGAGCTGACAGCATTACACACAATTAAAATTTATTTCTGATTGAAACATTTCAGCGGTATAAATTCTACAAACAGGTGCAAGGAGCTCCATGGATAGCCATGTGGGCCTGTGGCTCTCGGAGAGATTTTTTCTCTTTGGGGAACTCATTTCCTAGAAGCTTGGATCCAGGAGAGAATATGCAAGGTGGGTGGAGGTGGCTTCTCTCCATTCTGCGGGAACACATGTTCCCTGGCACGGAGAGCAGAATCTGACAGACCAAAATGTGAGCGCGTGTGTGTGCGCGCGCACACGCGAATCCATATACATAGAGCTGAAAATAAAAGTCATCTATTTCCTCTCAAAAAAGATTAAGAATAAGTTATTTTAAAAGAAAAGGAGTGTCTGAGCGTTAGGATATTTTGCATTTTAGAAAAAAAAAAGACAAGAGGTCTTAACAACGTGTCTGATCCAATTTCTGAGCCCACAAAAAAGCACAAGAAAGGTTCAAAGGAGTCTGAAATGACAGAAGAGCCCAGAGTAACTTTACTGGTGCTCTTGAAGAGCTGGGCTAATACACCTCCTAGTATGAAATTAAGCACACTTACGAAGCCCATGCAGTCTTTGGCCTGCATACGTGCACGTGGGTTTGAAGCCTTAGGGATGGTCTCTCACATCCCAGGCTGTGGGGATTTTGAAACTGGAGGGAAGGTGGGAATAACCAAAGAGGTGAAGCTACACTGCATCAAGAGCTCAGGACTGGAATAAACATAATACTACCATGACAAGTGAAATCAGACTATTTGCAAGCCTTGAGCTTTGCCTCTCGAGAGCCTGGGAACTGTTGGTGCCCTTCGTCTAAGGCGAACAGAGGCCTGACCCCTTGTACTGCTTCCTGCTGTAACGGAAAACCACTTTTCCACAAAGAGGATGCATGAGGCAAGGGGTGAAAAAGGAGAAATATTCTTGGGGTGGAAACTAATCTAGGCTGAGAAGGAGGGACACTCGTTGGCAGGAATAGAATAACCCATTTATACTGGCTCCTTGGGCTGAATAAACAATGTACTTATCAATTAATTGTTATAATAGCATTTTCCAGCAGAGGGCATACTTACATTGAAATAGATCTAAAAAGGTCTTCAAGAGGTTTTTTTTGGAATTTTTTTTAACTTCAATATTTTTGGTTTCTACATGGTTTAAAAATATTTCAAAGTATTTAAGATCCAGAGGATGTTAAATATGAAATTTCTCAAATTCCAATTAATATTTCTTCCTTATTGGTAAGATGTGATGGCTAAATGAGGCAATTTTCCATGGCTTATAGACAGGTCTTAGGCATTTACTATTATTGTAAGCAAAGCAGTTTTTTCTGTTGTTTACAAAATTACCGGAAAATCCTACGTTTTAGGATGAGTATTGTTTCCTCTCATTCCAGTAGAGTTTGATACAAGTTACAGCTTTTCTTTAACAGTGAGAAATTACCAGCATTGTCTAATCTGTTTTATAGCTAGCTTTGATAATTTTCCTAGAGGAAATGGCACCTATATAAGTTAACTAAACTTATTATATAATATAACCCCAGTATTCAAAGTCCATTTAAGCAGCAACTTCATGAGACTTTAAAATTTGTCTCTCTTCCAGATATATTTCCTAGATATAATAATCAGGGAATTATTATTTTCACAATAAATAAGAGGGTAGACACTATTATCTATATTCAGTTTTTTTTTTTTAAAAAAAGGTTAAGTCCCTTATTAGCAGTGGCTGAGCTCAAATCTGGAGACTGATTTGTTTGACACCATAGTACATGTTCTTTCCCCGCCTCCAATTGACTCTTTTATCACATCTGCTTTAAAATCATAGACTTTATTCATCAGGACGTAAGTCCAGATTGACAAACTGTGAAAAGTACAAAAAATGTAACAAAGTAATGCTATATAAACCAATTGCAGGAATTCTTGGCTTATAAACTCAATAGGTTGATTTAATTTTGGCATCATGTAGTCACTTTATCTGGCTTTTTGGTATGTGTGTAAACCATGATTTCTTTTAAGTCAATGCAGAAAGAAAAATCTCTGGGGAAGAAATTCTCAATGTTAGGGGAGATACAATGTATTTTATTTTATTATTAAAGTTGTCTCCTTTAGTGCTTCTCTTTCTATGGAGTCAAAAAAAATATATCAAATGCATAAAAATTTGCTGCCTAGGAAACAAATTTATTTTTGTGTTGAGAAACTGGAGATTTATACATCCTTAAAATTACAAAGAAATAGACCTCTATATATTCACTTTCATTTTCATAATGATCTCTAGAATAAGTATTCCAATTAATTTTGTTCTATAAGGATATGTGTTCTTGTTTTATTTGTGTGCAGAAAGAAAAGTTTCAAAATAAGTGAGAATGTTTAAATGTAAATGAAATTCTATTGATGAAATAAGGCATGTTAGTAAAATAAAACAATCCTAACTTTTTATCTTGAGAATATTAACTGCTTCAAGATTGATAGATAATTTAACATTGCAATGAAAATGTCTATATGCTTTAAAAAAAAGCCCCAACTTTCATGTCACTTAACACTGTGGATACAGGATACTTTAATTGTTTACAGAGTTTCACACAGAGCATCACCACGCTTGGTATTGAGTAAAAAGCACTGCAGTATTAGACAAGAATTCAGAATATAGGACTCTTAGGTCTGCCTCATTCTAACTGTGTGATCTGGATACATCATTTAACCTCTCTGAGCCTTGGTTTCTCATCTGTAAAATGGAGGTGATAATGGGTGTTTAGCCAAGGATATTAAGAGCTTAAAATGTAATTTACGTCGCATCTGTGAAGGCACTGAGTTTTGCTTGCAGATTTGCTTGTTAGATCAAAATAATCCAGATAATAAGCTTAATTAGCAACACCCTATTTTGGTAGCAACTTTCTTTAATATTCATAAATTGTTTGTGCACATTGCCTTAACTAGCTCCCCCAAACCTGATATATGTTAGAACAAAGCTTGGGGAAAATCACAGAGTAGGTTTAAGATCATGGTTTAACTGCTAGTGATTAGGATATGAAATGAAAATCCAATATAATTTCCCTTTGTATTATACTTAATGGGAGACTTAAAGATACAGTGTTAGATTTTAGATAATATTGACTGGTATTTTTCAGTATTTTTGGTATTGTCTTCACTTCTCAATACCACATTTAAAACAAAAGTAAAGCATGTCAAAATTGACTTTTTTACCTCAGAAATCGTGTTCTGTATTTCTAGATCTGCAATCACTCTTGCAATGACATTTTCCCCATCTCATTTTATACCTTGCCTTTTCCTTACAAAGCATATTTATTCTCTTTTCATCAGTACATCTGCCCAGAACGCTCTTTACTCGACCATTCTATCCCACACTCGCCTCTGAGCTCCCAACAAGGCACCTTTGGGACTTGTCAAGTGCCATATTTAAAATCTCTCGGGGAGATATGCGGGTCTTCCCGTGTGATCATGAGGATTCCTCAAATATGAGTTTTAGAGCCGATCTACAACTGATAAGCGCAGTATTTTCACATTGGTATATTGATGTTGTGCTAATAGACTTCAACAGTATGTATGTCCATTGAGAATTTTTCTACAAATTTCTTATCAGCTTTCTTTTAACTTTTAAGAAAGATAATCATATGTACTTGATTGGCATTGGCTGTAATTCTATTATATTTCCCAAGTTGCGTAGGCTTCTCCAAGTTGGAAGGGAGATAGTGTAGATGTCACAGATGCCCAATGGAATACTAGTTGGCAATAAAAAGGAACGAATTACTGATGTCAACAACAATGTGGATGCATCTCGAACGTCTTATGCTAAGTTAAAGAAGCCAAACGTAAAGGCTACATATTGCATGAATCCATTTGTATGACATTCTGGGGAGGCAAAACTATAAGGATGGAAACCAAATCGTGACTGCTAGGGCACAGCAGGAGGGAAATAACAAAAGGGGCTTGAGGGGCCCCCTTTTATCTGAGGTGATGGAAAAATCTTGATTGTGAGGGTGGTTATGAAACTGCATATATTTGTCAACCTATATACCTAAAAAGATGATTTTTACAGTATGTAAATTAACCCTCAGTACACTTAAAAAAATGTAATGGGTTAAACAAAAACAAGATGCTTGAAGTTTTGAGTTGTATATTGTCTTTTTTCCAGAGTCTTATTGATAACATACCATGTATGATTTTCACCCATTTCTATTTTTCAGCCCTAAATGTGTGATGCTCACTTTAGCTAAAGGCTACTTTAACATAACTTATTAGTACATTTGGAAACTTTAGCATGCCATAGCAATCATGCAGCAAATGTTATGAAATGTTATGGATTGTAAGGACATTATTAAATGAAACTCTTGCCTGGATAATATGCCAGTACTTGATTTTTATTTCACTTTCCAATTAATCTGCAATGCTAAGAGCTTATTGTACCTAATATTTCTTAATGATTGCTAGTTCCTGTGAGGTGAATTGAACTACCCCCGTTTTAAATAAGGGGAAGTTACACTCAGAGCAACAGCAATAGCAACTATCACAGGTCCTTCTGGTTCCGAAGCCAACGTTTGTAACGTCGTTTCATTTATTTTTACCAGTTTAGCAGCAGTTTGGATCCTTGAGGGTGGGTTGCACGAATCCTTGGAGATGCACGGTAAGGAGCGAAGTGTTCTCCTGAGGGGAAGAAGGCTCGCAGAAGGCACTGATACTTAGTACTGCGAACAGAAAATTGGGATTAACAAGCAAAGGATATACCCTGGCATCTTACCTTCCCTGTGACTCCTTGATGGAAGCTTAGTTTACTTACAATAAAGAAACAAAGTTCATTTCCAACCTCACATAAGCTTCTGGTACAACTGCAATGCTAGGCTTTGATAATATTCTTTTTGAGATTTCAAAATTATGTTTATCACTGAACTGTTATTTTCATAAATGACCAAACCATGTGCTTTATTAAATTTTTTTATACTTTATTAATTCCCTGCCACTTTACATGAAGATAACTCAGTGGTTTCTGTAGGATACTTTTTCTTTACATGACATTAGCAAACCTAGGTCATTTTTCGGACACAATTTATATGTAGAGGAATGACAAAAGTGATAAACCCTTACAATTTTCATTAGCTCTCACACTGGACAGTGGTACTTTAAGTAGGTATATGTTTTTGATTCCCTCCGTGGCAGCTGCTCATCCATAGTGGAGTTTTGAAGGTCGCTTGCCAGAAACTTTTACCTTTTATTCCTAACTGTCTGGGTGTACCTTCTCCACTTGCATTGAACTGTATGTATGTGCTGTGTACTGTAGAGGTGTGCAGTTAAAATACGTTTATTCTCAGAAATATTTTTAAAATATTTTAAAATGTTTTCCTTTGCAGAATCAGACACAAGTTTGGCAGAAGGAAGTGTCAGCTGCTTAGATGAAAGTCTTGGACATAACAGCAACATGGGCAGTGATTCAGGCACCGCGGGAAGTGATTCAGGTACTGCCTGACTGTTGTGTAAACCTTAAAAAGTGTGAAGTAAGACGCCATATAGTGGAAAACGTGGGGGCTGTTCATACCCTCCCTAATGTATTTATGCAATTAAAGCAATTCTTTTCTACAGTTGAAGTAGTTTTGGAACTTTGCCATTCACTTTCTTTAAAAGTACAACTTACAAAAGTCTTAGAATCAAGCTCTCTCGTTTTGATCCAATATTTGTCTTTTTGGTCTGGCATATGCCACGTTCCATAGAATCATGTTATCTGTTTTATTTATGCTATCTTTTTCAATTAGTTTGACTGCATTCAAATTATGTATTCAACTTGGTATGTGTATTCCCTACTTTTTTTAAATTAAAATACAGTTCAAATAAAAATTATACTATCAATGAGTGTGACTGTAGATAACTGCAGATAACAAGAGTCCCTCTTAAAAGAAAGAGCTAGAAATTACCCATATAATTAATAGTTCCATTTGTATAAATATCTTTTGCATACAAGTAGAGTCTGAAAATATTTTTGTCATTTAGTAACAACTTTATTAGGTGTTTCCCAAATTGCTTTCCCTATCAGTTGACTATCTGACCAATAACAAATGAGAGTGCCTCTTCTCAATTCCACACTTCAGCAATACTTCCCACTCTCAGATTTCTGAACTTCTGTCGGTCTGATTTCTAATCGCTTCCTTCTCTTCTTGGTGCATTTCCATGATCACATCTGAGCTAAACTGTTAACATCTTTTAGGAATGGGTGATGAGTCCTTGGATATCTATCATATACCTTGCTGTATTTGTCCGTATGTTTGAAATACTTCAGAATTAAAATGGGTAAATTACAAACAAAAAAATGCTTTGCAGTGTGGTCAGCTCAGGATCGGTAAAAAGTTGCCAAATTAAAAAACACAAGCACACAAATTACTTTATTCCTCATTTCTCCTGTTATTAAGTTCTAAGAAACACTTAGAAAATATTGTGCACTTCAATTTATCCTGCACTGTCAGGTAATTATAAAAATTTAGATTTACAGTACATCTAAAGGGGCAGAATAATTTACATAAAGATGGTCATCTGCCCTAAAAACTTTCCAAGCTTTTAATAGGTTAATTCACCTTCTGTTCAATTCTGTTAGTGTTTATTAAGTTCTTACCCTGTGCTTACAATTTCTGTGGATTGTATTTGTTTTTTCTATGCTTGTTATACAATTGTTAAATTTAATAGTTAGCATTTCTATTAAATGATATTGAGCCTAACACTCAGAATACACTCTAGCTAATATTTAACATCTTTAGAGTTGTTTTAAACTTCTAGACCTCATCATGATTTTTGTTTGTCTAAGTAAGGGCTTTTCAACAATATTCATTCATTCAACAACCATTTAATGGGTATCCTTTAATGTGTAGGGCGTTTTGTCTATTTAGAGCTGTTAGCAAATGTAGCTACTTAACTGATTTTCAGTTCTCAATGTGGCATGAAAGACGATAAGTCTTTTCACAACCTACTTTTTAAAAGCAAATACACTTTCAAAGGCAAATGCATTTAAAGACAAACACATTTTCAAAGGGCACCCATTGATGTTCTCTATGGGGTCAGTGCTTAGAAACCAAGAATTACTTTGCACAGTGGGTACTGAAATTCTAAAATTCTAAAATTATGAAATTCCTTTCCCTCAGGTGCATGATATAGATGAAATAGCAATCAATTAAAAGGGGGCTTATATAAATTGTAAGTTGTTAAACATATTGAATTGAAAAAAGCATTACAATGTTTGAGATTACAGAGTTTGAGGTTGACATCAAAGGGACCTTATTCCACATGTCCTTTGTCCACCTCCAAAAATTACATAATGGGCCATAAGGATCACGGACATGACCCAAAGCCATAGCATTCATTATGTTCCTTTGTGGAAGTATTATGCTGTGGCAAAACATAATTAGTGGTTCTCTTACAGTTTAAATATTCTAATTACAGTACGGAAGGCTTTTTGTTTTTCTGTCTCTCATTTTCAGAGGGATATACTGCACAAAGTGGCCATATTTTTGGCAATACATCTTGGCCTGATATGTAGAAAGTGTTTCCTTACTATTTCGAGGTAATACCTATTAATATTTGCCCAGCTGGAATGGCGTATTTTTCTGTGGTTACAGACTATAGGTAAAAGAATACTTTGTCGATTCCAAACACATGCAGTGACAGACCTTTTCTCTCCAAGAATAACTCAGCTGTCAAAATCAATGTGAGAATGAAATTTGCCACATGGTGTAGTTCCAATAGAATGTTATTATTTAAGCCCTATTTGATTTCATTTTTGACCATTTATATGGAAGAGTATAATTTTAAGGTCTTTAATCAATATTTGTTGTAGAGGAAGGTTATAATATTGTTCAAAGCCTGTGCATATTTTAAATAACGTTTTCATTATTGCATTTCATTGATTTTGCTTTTCTAAGAGAGCTAAAAAGACACAACAAACAAACAAAAACCCAAACATTTCTTTTATAAGGGAAGTTGGCTCCTGGCTCATTGACACCAGCCCAGTTCTCTCCTTCTGGTACACAGAAGAGAAAATTCTCTTTTCATTGCTATGTGGATAAATTCTCCCATCCCTGTGTCAGAGGATGTGATAAGGCAAGAATCAGGCTGAATATTTAGCACTCACCCAGTTCTTTTTCTTTGGATGCTATTCTCACAATGAATCCAACTCTTAATTTTTTTTTCCATATTCACTCTGTGCTTGTCTTTTAAACTTGGGGCTACCCATCAGGTTTCCTAGACTTGACAGGAAAATAAGGAACCCTATTGAACTATCTATCTAATATCTAGATAATTTTAGTAACAGCAGTACAGTACCTTAGACTCTGAAGTCCTTGAGGATAAGGGGTGTATTCTTGGGAGTGCATGGCATATAATAGGTGCCCCATAAGTATTTAGTGCAGAAAGAGTTAGTGGCACATGATTAGTTAAGCAGCAGTAAAAATCATAACTTTAATTCTAGAATTAAGTTTTGAACACAATAGCCCTTTCAACTTGTTAACTCATTTTAAGTTTATTAGCACAATAAATATCTAATATGCATAAGTGGCATTGATGTTTTACTCATTTGACTTAGTTTTAGATTCCTAGTAAAGACACTTAGAAAATTTCTCTTTATATTGTGTTACCCAAGGATATAGTAGCAAGCATGAAATACAAAGTGGGAAAATGATTCTTTTTAAAAAGTACATGCAATTACTATAAGCAGAACTTTATTATTTGATTAAAATCTGTGCAAAAATGTTCCTAGAGTGAAATTAAACAAAGAGAATTTGTTAATGTCTTTTAACAAATAGATCAAATAGCAGTTTAGCAAAAGGAAATTGCTGGATTTTCAAATGAAAATACTTATCCCTTTGCAAATATGCTGGCTCCTTTGGAAAGGTTAGGTGACAAATGCTTGTAATATTAGTGGAATATTAGGATTTTGATCACCTAAAAAATCCACTTAGCAGAGAAGTTACAATATTCTTAAACAAATTTGAACCTTGCATGAATATAATAGAAGATAAATGATTGTAATTGTTATAGAGTTCAAAACAAGTATAAAAAGAAAACTTGTAAGTGTGTACTTTTGAGTGCTGGTAATCTTGAATGAGTTTTTCCTGAAAATCATATCAAGTGAATCAGCAGATGATCCAATGATCCCTTAAATGTATTGTGCCTGTACTTACTCATCCAGACAGAAGGCAAATTTCCTGTCAAGTCAGGAGGCAACTCTTACTAAGTGGTATTTGGTGTGAATTTTCCTACCTGTTCAGATAGTCCTATCACAACAAGTTAAAAACGCAGTTAAATAGAAGCATCCAGTGGCTGAAATGGAAACGTCAGCAACTTTTTTGAAGTTAATGGAATTATGTTAGTTTAGTTTTATTACAGTCGTTGATAAGAGAAAGAACACTTGCTTCATGTGTAATGAAATAGTGATAAGTGCTGTCATTTCATTTTTTATGATTACATAAAGCATAGGATGGGCTTTTAAATTGAATTGATATTTATTTTAGTGCATTCCACATAATAAGTTATACATTTTTAGATCTTTTCCTCCTGGCTAATATAGATAAATATGGCCACCTCTAAACAAAATATATTTAAACCAAGATATGTTATAATGATTTGATTCTAATGTTCATAAAATTAATGTATCTTAGTATTTACTTTATCAGTATTTTAAATTTAGAAAACTAGTTTAACTGGAAATATTTTAATATATTGTGCTTTGAGTTTTAGGAAAATGTGAATACATGGCAACATACATGTAAGGACATCATAAAGATTACAGTTCAAAACTAAGTGGCAAAATAGTCACAATTCAGGTTCAACCAACAAAATTGTCTTCATCTGTCAATGAAAACCAATCATTTAAAGGCTAGAATGGGACGAGTGTTTCCCCTTCTCCCTAAATATGATTTCTATTTAATCTATTTGCCTCAAATGGCAAAAATGGGATTTTTAGGGGTTATTTTTAGATATTTGAGATAGGTGGATAGAGATTTATGCTCTTGGATATTAGATTGTCACTTTTTCAAATGAAGGGAAATAGCATCAGCTATAATATCTTCATTGCAATAAAAAAAGGAGGATACAGAATGAGGGGGACTGACTCCCACTTTCCCAATTCCTGTTGATTTGTAGGTGGAAGGACTAAGAGGAAGAAGTAGAATAAAGTGGCTCAACAAAGAAATAGAGAGTCTGATGCGTTCAGCACCATTACTGCCAATTCTTCACCACTGACTGTTCGGTCATTTCCCCTTGGTTTGCCCACTCTGAAAAGACTGCCCCATGTTGCCCCCCAAGTTGTGCATCCTGTTCCTTCACTCCCTCTGCACCCCCACAACCCCAGAACGCTTCCATGAAACAGCACCTGGCTTATTTCCTGCTAATGCAAGCAGAGAGCTGACATCCATTTGGTGAGAAAACAGAAAATGGTTGGTTTGGACCACACATGGCACGGAATTTAAAGCACAAGAGGCCTATGTTCAGCGTTAGATGGCTTCCCAGCCTTAGTTATGTTGTTTCCCATTCCCTTATTTTTCCTTCTTATAACTTCCTTGAGGTGAAGAGAATATGCCAGGCAGGTCATCTCCTGAGCCAGAACTGCCTCTCGGGCCTTACCAAATGGAAGTGGCCCAACCAGCCTTGGAGGAGAAAAACACCATCATGTGCCTCCTCCCTACAGGGAGCGGGAAAACCAGAGCGGCTACGTGGCCAAGGATCACTTGGACGAGAGGAAGCAGCGTCTGAGCCTGGGCACGTCATGGTCCTGGTCAACAAGGTGTTCTAATCGCACATAGTATAAAATTATCTGTTTTTTCTATTTTATTATTCTGAAACATTGGTATAGTGACATATGTAGCAATGGGTCACCCAGATTTAGCTTAATCAGGAGGAATATTAAAATAAGTAATTTAGTTTATTTTATTTCTCCAGTTATGTGTAATATCTGTTATTAGCCTTTAAAGCAAATTTTCCATGAAACCAGAGTATTAAATCAAATAGCTGTAATCGATGTATATTTATCCAGGTACTCTTTAAGATTAACTGCTACAAATTTAAGTTTTCATTGTATGTGACATGAATGGCCTCAAAGTATCACTGGAATCTATGATCAAATACTGTGTCTCAGAGGCTAACTGTTGACCCTTAATCAAAGCTGACAAGTCTTTATCCAAAATATATAATTCAATTTGAAGATAAAGAGAAAATTAAGTGAATATTTGGCTGATCTTTGGCAAGTTAAATGTAAAAATAATTAACTTTCAAATATCATATCAGAATGTATATAATATATATCATAGAAATATATAGATATACATGTTACATTAAATACAACTGAGGTTTCCTTTGTTAGTTCATATTTTGGAGTATTTGAAGACCAGTCTTCATAAGCAGGTATAATTCTCTTTTGCTGTAAAACAAAATCTAGTTATTTGAGCTTTATTTGTATAAATGAGTTTATTCACTTATAAATTAGAGATACAATCTTTACTTTTATGGAGTAAAATTGAGTATACTTTTCCATGACCAGAAAGAATCTTTTTTCCATTACTTATAGTAACTAGATTCTCATCTTTTCCTTTGTAGAAAATATAGTAATAGACTATAGAACTTTCCTATACTTTTTGGATTTCCATTATGCTAAAAGTTTTAGTTGCAACTTGCTTTTCAGTACTAAAGAAACATTCTCAGAATCCATGATCTGAATAATTTCCATCATATAGTTCCAAATGCATTTTGTATGTATCTACTAAGTCTAAAGACTGAGTTCGCCTTTATACTTACGTGCCTACTATTAGAATAGTTTTATTTCTTTGTGATAATGGTGATATATTAGAATTTAATTGTTCATGGCCGTTCATATATTCCCATTATTGAGGGTATTATTTTTGGAATAAAAGAAATCTAGTTTTGAATACTCTTTCTACCTGGCAATAGTCTGACCTTGGACAAATTGCTGGTTCTGTCATTTTAGTTCCATCATTTATAAAATGAACAAAAGAATGTTATGCTGTACAATTGCCCTGAAGTTTTTAAGTTAGATAATCTGTCATAAGCCTAGTGTGACCCAATACATTTTAATTATTTCTACCACTCCTTCCTCTTCACCTTTTTAACTAATTAAATGGAATTCCTTAACCAGAGAACAGGATCCTAAGTGCCAGGTCCAGAGAAAAGAACAAAGTTATGTGATTTGAAGCTACTTAAGCTGATGTTCTTGATACCAAATGTTCTGCAATTTCTTCAAACTCAGCCTCATTCTCTACCCTCCAAAAAGATTCTCACTCCCTACTTAGCAGTATTTCTGTTTGCTGTACCACCTCTTCCAAAGCATGTCGCCTGAAAACCTAGGAGTTGTTTTTGTTTCATCTGCTTTCTTTACTTCGCCTATCCGCTCGCAGGATCACGGACTTGGACTAACAGAGTTAAAAGAGGACTTCAAGGTCAAGCCTTAAACCATTGCAGGATAGTCCTCTCACTCCACTGAGTAACTTCCAATATCAAGGAGGGCCCCCTTCTAACAAGACAACTCAAGCCATGTTCTGAACAACTGAAAACTGTTGGAAAATCCTAACAAAAATCTTTTTCTCTGGAATCTACACTCATTGGTTAGAGTTCTTTCCTTTGTGATTATGCAGATTAAGTCTTAAATCTCCTGCCTTATAAGAGCCCTTCACATAAAGAAGGCAGCCTCATGTGGCTCCTAAGTTATTTTTCTTTTTGTTGACTGGGAAACATATTCCCAGTTCCTTGAACTGTTTTTCATATAACAAGGTTTCTAGACTTTTCATCATCGTGAGTGTTCATACTTTTTGAGACATTTATTTAGGACCTTCTAAAATACACTGTGTGTGGAGCTTGACAAAATATCATAGATATGGTCTGATCAGTGCAGAATGTCAGAGAAATGAGATGTGATCCTTAGCCCATGACTGGACTTGCCTGTGTCACCAGGCTGGCAAACACAGATTCACTGGGAGTTGCCCTAAACTAAAACCCTCAGTTCCTTTTCATTCATCTGAATATCTGTTAAACTAGATCTCATTTAAGTTATTTTTGTGCAATTAATTTTTGAGCCTAAATCCAAAACTTATATTTACTTCTTAGTATCACTCATGTCAATTGATCGTTTCAGGGCCCATGTTTTTGCCGGCATCTGATGGACCTTCCATTCTGTAATTCCTTCTCCTCTCAGTGCTGTATTCTAGTCACAATCTTTCACCCAGTCAGAAATGGATGATTCTTATGAATCCACATTTGAAGCCATGTTTGAATGTTAAATTATCCTCATTAGTTATTCTGCTTTGTTTTATAGACATCTAAGGATGTAAATTAATTTCTGATATGTTTTCCTGTTGTTTTTCCCTAAGAATTACTAGAAATCCCTCTGCTAGTTCTTCCATCTATGTCATAACTGTTTACTTTATTATCCCATTTCTTTAAATTTTAAAGTAAGTCAGCTTTAATTCTTTTCTATTGAGTCAGGAAATCTCTGGCCCGACTTAGACTGTAAGTCAATATAACGCATTTTGTATTCAGCCCAATGGCAAGGTATTATAGCCCTTGATCTAGAAACAAGAAATCCTGTGCCCTGACACCATTTAGTTTCATCTCCCTTCCTCCATCCTTTCCGAAGTTATCGCCTTCAAATGCAGGGAGAAATGAAAACACCACCTGTGTTCCCAGACTTTCTATTTCCTATCTAGGGTTTCAACATCACGAGAGAGAAATCCCAGGTTCCTTCAGATGCTGTAAGGCAGCCCCATATGATTCAGCAGAAGTGGGTAGCAGTTGGGTGTGATTAGTCTTGGCAGGCACTGTGTCACATCTCAGGAAAAGGCTCCAAGAGGACCCCACACCTCCCAATTAGCCATGTCACACTTGCATCTGGCTTTCTCTGTGTCCTTCAGTAGGAAGTCAACGCCGCCCAGAGTGAGAATCAGGATTTCCAGGGCCTGCTACCCCCTGTGACAACTTCTTTTTGTTCTGTAGACCAGAAGATGTTGCTTGTTTGGAGGCTCTTGACTCACCCCTGTGGCCAGAACCCCATGTTGTGATGTTTCTCCATGGCATGGAGATTCTTAAATCATGCAACAGCATGAGGGTATGTAAAGACAAATAAAATGCAGATCTTTTCCTCAGGAATCTACAGTCTAAGAAATAAGCTAAATTTGTTTAATAATACTGTGTTTTTATGTGTATTAATATGTAAAGTTCAATGTAATATTAATTATTCTTATTGTACCTCATTAGGTCCACACAGCTACTCAATGAAGTAACTATAATTATCCCCATTTTACCCATCAGAAAACTGAGGCTGGATGACTTTTAATTGGCCCATCAGAGATCATCTAGCCACTAAGCAGCAGAGCCGGGACTTGAACCCTTATTTTCTGAAGTCAAATGATCTTTTTCCACTATACTCTACTGATAGAATAAAAAGATACATAAAATACCAGGGAGGTTTTCTAAGTATTGAAGATGTCAGCCTCTATTTCATATAATTTTTTACAACTAGCCTACCATAGGTTAACATTAAGGTAGAAATTGAGATGATTGAGATGGTTCAATAACTTGTCCAAGGTCATATAATAAGCAAGTAGCTGGAGTAGCTATTTTCAGAGCTGACTTTTCCCTCTGGGTCATGTAATCTCTTTCCAATAAATTTAATTTTCTTTCCCTTCTTACTATCTTTCTGACTTCACCCTTAGATTATATCCTGTCTTGTGTAAACATAATGAAAATAATAGTTCTAGAGAAAATATGTCCAAAATGACTTTGTGGAAGAGAAGAAAGAGTTGTGGTTCTCACATTTCAAAGACAATCTCAAATAAGAAGTTTCATAAAAGCATAGGGGCCAAGCCTCTGGCCCAGAGGTGGTCCCTGGATTTAATAGTTCCTGAGTCTCCATTTTCCAGGTCTCTCAAGTGATTTGTGCTAGGTAGACCAGAGACTTCACTTTGATAAAAAAAATGCAACACTAACTGAAAGTTTCTCTTCTTATTCTTTGCCCTGTGTTATTTTCCTTCACTTGCCAAACTTGCTTATTGATTTTAGGTCCACTTTGCTTGCCTGGGATTCATGGATTCCATTGTACCCTCCCCACCTCCACATTCGCTCTTAGAAAACGACATTATTTTTATTAAATAATGGCACAAAGCAGTATTCTTCATACACTGTTCTCCTTAGCCAACCCTCCTTTTACACATAAGTGGGGCTCAACTCAAATAAAAAGATGAATAGCACATACCTTGCAGACCAATGGAAAGATAACCACTGATCACATTATTGGGTAATTACATCATGAGAAATAAAATGCATATTCTTTGATAATTGCTCTTGAAACTCTTTTTGCCAACTGTCTCTTTGCCACATTGTTCACCTCTAGGCTTCCACTGTATAAATTTTCGTGGGATATTACCTTCAACATGTCCTGGTTATTCCTTTCCCCAAATCCAGGAGGTATTGTGAATGACTGGTACTGTTTAACATTGAGGTGTCAACTCACATAGCTTCAGCAGATACTATGACATATAGTAGCCAGCTGAAAAGGAGTCTTTTTTGGTACCATGCAATAAAATTTAACATTTTGAATAGGTTCACCTGTTACTGAAACTGGTAATTTTGAAACTTCAACTGGGGCAAAAGGGTATAGTGTGGACTCATGGCATTAATGGGCACTGCGAACACAGGCTAAAAAATTAACAGTCACCTCTCAGACAGAAGACCAGGCCCAGGGTCGACTCTTCCCCAGTAATGACGCGTCTGAGCATGGCCATCTCCCAGTGGCTTGCCTGCACAGGAGAGCCTTTGCTGGTGAGGCGGGTATCCTCTCTGTTCTGGACTTCATGGTATCGCTGAGTGCATCGCCAAGCGATGGTCTTACAGGTCAGGGTCTTCACAAAGATTTGCATTTGACCTGATACAAAATATGAAGATACTCTGACTTGCCAGTCGAGTTTTCATCTCAGCACAAGCACGTTCTCACTCGGCAGTGCCAGTTGTCTGGAAGAATTTCCGCCTCTTTTGCCAAGCCTGTTTGCTATTTTCCCAGCCACCAAAGCTGTCCCAGCAGCACCTCTCCTCCACTCCCCTGGGCAATGCCTTATTACCTCCTCACTTTTGGTTCTCTGCTCCCTCCAATCCTTGAAGCATGTTGCCTCTGGCCTGACCCCAAGAGAAACAGTAATAAATCAGCTCGACAACACAACTCACGAGTGTCCTGTGAACTGTTACAGTAAATTTAGAAAACTGTGCATAACCTGGCCCTGCTCTACGAATTCAAAATCTATTTCCTATCCAGCCTTAGTTTTAACTTCTCTGTCCCCGGACCCATGGCTTAGGAAATCACAATTCCTTCTGAACTCTTCTGTTGAGCAGTCAGGCGCTTCTTCCTCTTTGTTATCACTTTGTATGCGTTTCTGTGGGAGAATTAATATATTGTGCTGTCATCATTTGTTTTATTTTATTTAGTCTTAGTCTGTGGGCTCAGGTAGACTGAATTCCTCAAAATTGTCAACTGTATCTTAAACATGTTAGTGTCGCAGATGCAATGTCTACACCTAATAGGCATCAGTGGATGCTAACTGACAGATGAATGAATGTAATGACGGGTAGGTTGTTAGACCTAATTAGCTGATAACGTAAATACCTCTGATAGTGCTCGGCACACGGTAGGCGTTTTACCAGTACTCCTTCGGCTTTGCTTATGCTCCCTTTGTCTCTTTTTAATTTCAGCATTTTTAAGTACCATTAGTTAAACAGCTCTTCCGCAAAGAGTTCAAACCATTTTTGAAAAAATGGTATCAAGTTACAGGATTAAGCGTTGATACCCAACTGAAAATATCATTTCCAGAAGTTGTCAAGTCCTGTGATGTTATTATCAGTACAGCTCAAATCCTCAAAAACTCACTTTTAAACCCAGAAAATGGAGAAGATACTGGTGTCCAGTTTTCAGGTTGGTTGAAGTGTTTATTTCTGAAAAAATAAGAATTAGTAGCAATATTAGTGATAGTAGCAGAGGCTGTATTAGTTAAATAATTTTTGAAAATTGATTGAGATTAATTTTGGTTTAGATCATCTTTCATTGCTTATGGTTTCATTAAAATCTTGTACTTCCTTGGGAAACAGAAAAAAGATTTGATAAGTTTTTATTAAGTCACTTTATTTTGTATAAGAAAACACTATTGAATCAGACACTCACTGGATTTTTGCTTCTTATTTCTAGCTACTAACAAGTTATTTTTATATGCTTATGCATCCTGTTAGATCTGCCTTTTCTCTATACAATAAAAACAGAATCCTTTCTATTTTGTGGGAGATGAGAAGAAAAGGTAGGAGACAGGAAGGAAAAGAAGCATAAATAACCATAATAACAAAATACAATGCTAAAACATGGCCAAATTATCCCTCTTTAAACATGTGGTTTTCATTGGTGTAATAAAAATATAATTCAACAACTTAATATTAAATATTTTATCAAAGAAAAAAACTGTAATCTGGAGAGTTTTGGGGAATAAGGCAGGGTTTCAATTCTTTCCCGTAACACTTCTTAGCTCTGTAAACTTTCTGAAACTACCTTGTAAGCCAGGATAATATTTTACAAGGCTGGTTTCATTATTAATGTACATGAACTTGTGTAAATACAGGTGACTCGCATAGTTACATTTCCCTCTTAATGACTGAAAGAGGCCTGTGCCAGTATTCTTCCCAAGAAAAGACATCCCCATGGTGGCTCAGTTTATGAGCTTAAAGGTCCTTTTTTTCCCCTTACCTTGTGGGTAAAAACAAATGAACCATTTGAATTTTCTTTTAAAACTTTTCCCTTATTATCATTGATGAATGCCACCACACCAAGAAGGAAGACGTCTATAACAATGTCATGAGATGTTATTTGAAACAGAAGTTGAAAAACAATAGACTCAAGGAAGAAAACAAACCAGTGATTCCTCTCCCTCAGATACCGGGCTTAACAGCGTCACCAGGTGCGGGAGGGGCCACAAAGCAAGCCCAAGCCAAAGAACACATTTTAAAAGTATGTTTTTAAAAAAACCAAAGCTAAAGAACATGCCAGGGCTTCTTGGGCTTTTTAAGGTTAGGCCCAAGTACCATGGAACCCAGGACGGAAGGTATTCCACAATCACTGATTAACTGAAATCTGTAAGCTTTAGTTCAATTAAATATCCTCAATCTTCTACAAAACTCATAGGCCTTAATAAATAACTATGGCATGAAACAATACTAAAAATGATTGAGAGCAGATATTTACAAAAAAATGAGACAAGTAAAATACCCTCTTCTAAATGTCTGCTCATTTTGTTAAACTTATCTGTTTGGTATAGAAATATGCTTAAACAATGAAAGGTTCTAATTTTCATACATACTCCATGAGTTTCAAAATTGCATCTTTTCTTCTGTGCCTCTTTTGTGTAACTCTCAGAATCTGGGTAGTTAATTAGATGGAAAAATGGAGATAGGGGAATCTTCAATTAAAGATGTACTACCTGTCAGCCGCCCCCAAATGGCAATACCACATAAAGCTCTGTTATTGTTCTCAAGGGGTAAATGAATTCAGAGTAACTCAAGAAGTATGTTGATACCAAGGCAATTGGACTTGTGTTCTGAGTCCCTTACTTGAAGTTGAATTCAGTAAAAATCATGTAGTGTAGACAGAGGCACAATTAATGATTCCAAGATATAATCTATTACTGGGATTAAAGACTAACACTAATGTAGATCCAGATACATGGGCTTCTGCTGCTTCCAGCTTTACAATGTCCTCCTTGAGTGTAGAAGGGGGTGGAAATAGAATCCATGAATGTCAAATCTACCTTTATAATGCCTCATGCAGTAAGGTTATCTTTGAACCATTATTGGCTATCTCTGCAACTTGCTTTATTCTTTCCATGTCAGTTTTCCCATCTGGAAATGGAACTTAAGAAATGAAAATAAGTGTACTTCTTTTCTGGAATTATCAGTAAGCATAATCTAGAAGCCCCTTTTTATTCTCTCAGGGTAAATGTTATCAGGTAATCAGATCCACAGTAAAGCAATACTGAAAGGGTATGGTATGTTTAGCAAGCCATGCTACCTATCTCTTACATGAAAAAGAATTCTACATTGAATTAATAGAAAGGGAAGAGTAATTATTTGAATATTGAAAAATGTCTCTTTCAAATATGTGCTAATCTTGATGCATTTACCATTAAAACTATGAAAGAAAATATTGACCAAATAAAGGAGCCATGCAAAAAGTTTGTGATCTCAGATGACACCAGAGAAGTGAATGCTTAAAAGTCTACATTTCCTTGATCGGTGATGTCATACTCAACTAAGAGACGCAAAGATGATTTTATACTGACCATCTGAAAAATATTATTTAAAAATTTTAACAAAAGAAGTTATAGTGTTTTTTTTCATTGGTATTAGGCAATATGACACTGCTGTGAATTCTCTCATCATTTTTGTTTTCTAGTTTAAATGAGGAAAACTCAGTAGTTGGTTGACGACATATGAGCCATGAAGGGTGAGGATAGGGAGGGTTGTATAGCTAAACTAGGGGGATTACCATAGTTCATTTTATTCTCTTTCTTTTTTGATGAATTATTTCCAGGGTTAGTTTTCTGACATTTCACAGAGCCATTTTGTGGTTTCCAGATTGCAGTTAGCAATGACAATGAGAATTCTACCTAATTTGTATATTTTCTTCCTTAGGAAAACACTGAAATAGTAAAAGAATGAAATATTTACTTTAATGGTGCTTTTGTGAGACATATTTTAGCTGATTATAAAAGCCAACCAAGCCATTTTGGACATTAAGGCCAGCCTGTTATGTCAATACTTTCTTTTGTAAAATATAAAAAGCATGATAAATGTTAGCTATTATGTTATTAATAATAAGTACAATCATTGAAAACTACCTCATAAGGAAGTTAGAAATAACTGATATGAAATAGGCATAATAGATAATATTGTATTTGGAATTCAGTAGAACCAAACCCACATTTGTGACCAGTCTCCATAGATCAGTGTTTTTGGCAATTTTGGAAAAGAGCACTACCTGTTCCGGCTGAACTGGCACATTTGAATGGACTTGGTTATACTTTACTTCTTGTTAATTATTCAGTTTTACTGACCAGTTTCTCTTTATTTGCATGTGTCTACTCATAATCATTAAAAAATAAAAACCCACAACATCCTCAGGATACATTTTAAAAGGAATTTGCCATCTTATTTTTTAAGTTACTTACCTGTGGTATACTTTTTATTGAAGTGTAACATGCACAGAAAAAGTACAAACTCCTAAGTATACAGATTACTGAATTTTCATAAACCGAACACACCTGTATAAGCAAAACCCAGATCAAGAGACAAAGCATTGCTGGCTCCCCGAAAATCTTCAATTCCCTTGCCAGTCTCTATCCTCCAAGGATAACTACTATCCAGAGTTCTAACACAAAGATGGCTTTTGACTGATTTTGAACTTCACATAAATGAAATCATATAGTATGACCTCTTCTGTGTCTGACTTTTTTCAAAACTCTACCTCTTAATATTTTATTTTGGTAGAAATAATACTGATGCCAGTTCTTTGAAAAGGAATGGTTCTTAAATTAGACTGCAGGCTTTCTACATAATGGGGGCATTACTTTAATATATATTTTTAAATTATTATTAGCATTCACGGTGTATGTCATGCAGTAATTTTACTTCAGAAAGACCTTTAAATTGGAAATTCCAGCAGGGTACATGGTGTTGGTATGCGTGGAACTTAAGGCAAAAGAGAATCTGATGAAAAATAAATGTAGAAAGAGGTGGTCAGAGATAAAATTACTTTGTCTAGACAAAGATTCTGAATCAATTTTATTATAACATGGAATTATTTTAACAAAGATAATATTCCTTTAACAGTATAAACATGTAAAATAAAAGTATAATTTACTTTTAGGATCAATTTAAAGATAAAATTATAGCAATAATGACAAGTATTCAAAGTTTTTGCCAAGTGTGTCCAATGCCAGATTTTGGAACTCAACCTTATGAACAATGTGGCATTCAAATAGAAAAAAAAGTAATTTGGTTTTTGACCTAACACTTAGTTTATCACATGTTTAGCCAAGATTTCAGGTGCTATATCACATATTCCCAAGCAAAATGAAAGCAAATGTGTTTTCAAATGGAATTTCTGTGTTCTGAATAGGACAAGGATAAACATGTTCTAATCCCTAATCTAAGGAAAGAGGCACCAATTCACTCATTTTCTCTTTATCTTCTGTTTTTCACTTATTGTATATTTAAACTGTTAAGGTAAATATTAACATTTCTATCTTCAAATGCAAACTCTGGTAATGTGTTTTTCATGGCATTTCTGAGTCAGCATGATCAGGGGCGTGTTCCTGCCAACACAGAACTCATGCAGCAAGTCTATGGGTTGGCAAGCTTGCCACTTGTAGAGCTCATGGCACATTTTGAGCCTAAATGTGCCCTTTTCAAGAACAAGGTGAAGCCCAATTTGGAATCAGTATCATAAACACATCCAGGCCCACAGCACAACTTCAGGGGGTGTGTTCGGCCATTATTTCTCTGCACATGTATTCTTTAGTAGCTGCCAAAGGAAACTGCAGAGACCGCGCGTGTGCAGAGCATCTGAGGAAGCCCAATGGGACCTTGCAAATCAATGGTACAATCTGAATGATTGATGCATATCATCACCTTGAAACTTTCTATAATGATGAAAAGGAAAAGAGTGGCGACAGCGGTGGCAACGGCGATGAAGGGGAGGGTGACAAAAAGAAAGCTTTGAAACTGGATGGGGCAGATGATTTTCTCATGAATTCATTTCTTGGTAAGAGTCAATGTAACATTTATTGTGCAGTTTCATGCACTTACGTCCTTGTCCTGAGCCCACTGCTGCTCAAGAGCTCTTCAGAAGACCCTCGGATGAAAATCTCGTTTGGAAGAAGAAATCTCACTCATCGTGAGACAGTTTCTCATTGATGTGATCAGATTAGCCATGAGTTATATGACCACAATCAATCGTTTGACTACCTGGTTGTATTATCAAGATGCCTGCAGTACCTTTATTTACTAAACTAATCTGGTCATTAGGTCCAGCCCAAGATAAATTGTATTGATCTACAGGTCGGTGCATCATTACATAAAATCTTTTTAATGTTCATTTTTCATTAATTTTGTGTAATCATTCACATATTTTACTAACTTTAACTAATTTTTTCTTAAAGATAATAAGAAAACATTGAAAAAGCTGGGCAGCAAACCCAGAACATGAAAATGAGAAGCTGACCGAATTAAGAAGCACTATCCTGGGACAGAGTGCAAGGACTGAGGAATCAGCCTGAGGAATAATTTTCACAAAAACACGACAGAGTGTGTATGCTCTTTCCCAGCGGATCAGTGAACTCAGCACATTCGCTGAAGTAGGTGTCAAGGCCCAGCACGTGACTGGAGCTGGACACAGCAGTGAGTTCAAGCCCCCGACACAGGTAGAAACAGCCTTTGGAATTTCTTACACTGTCATCCCTCTTCTCAAATGAGTTGCAGCAGTAGTCTTTTTTCATCAATTCTCTCACCATTCCACAAATAATTTTACAGAATGAAACACTTGTTCTTAAAAAAGTATATGTGAGTTCAAGAGCAATCTAATCTGTAGTATTCGATGGGCTAAGCCATGTTCTAGGAGTCATTTTTTTTCACCCACTTGGAGGAACTTTCAAAATTGAGTTTCCTTTGGAAAAATTGATGGACACTTAAGCTTACTAACAACATGAGAAAATGGTTAACAGATAAGTAGAAATATCAAGTGGAAAAATCAAATCCCACAAAAAGGTGTGCACTGACATTAGAACTTTGTAAAATACGTGTGCATAGATGAGATGTGTAAGGGAAATTGGAACACTTAAGACATTTTATGTGTTAGGGATTTTGAGACTATGAGATATTTTCTTTTCCTTTTTAAGACTTTTGTTTTCATTTCATTATACTAATTTTGTGCACAGGAAGATCACTTGGTAATGAGAAAAAAAGGTACTTGTAGGTATTATAAGCATAGCTGAAGCAATGACAGCTTGTTAGAGTAAAATGTTCTGAAGCCATATTGATCTGGTGTCTTGCTGGACAAGGGGACATTTCAATTCTATTATGCTCATCACCATTTGAAGAAAATTAAATCTGTTTCCCTGTTTCCCTGAAAAAAAAAGTAGTTCTTGAAATTGCCCATTATAACTCTTAATATACTCTCTACATGTACTCCTGTTAGTTACCTCTAAAATTTATGCCACAGAAAGCATTGTTTTCCTTGGGTAAAGAGTTTACTTCCTCCTTTGTGATGAGAGCTAGTAACATGTTTCCCTTTTTTGCCTTAGCTCCCAGGAAGCTCATAGGCAAAACAGAAGTTCAGTGTCACAGCCTCTGAGTTAATCCTTACAAGTAGTACATCTATTCTATTTCACTTTTGGTCCTGTTTTTAAGTTTCTATTATAGTAGTTTTTGTTTTGTGACTTTGATAGTATGTGGCCTCAGCTCCTCTTTGAAAAGAGATGGGGTACAAATGGAAAATGTGTTTTCAAGGTACTTTTTGCTCCTTATCCATTTAAAACTTGGGTGCTGCATGTCAAAATATAGAACATTTCCCAATCCTTACTTGCCACATGCTCACTGACAATAAACTGAGTTGGACTTACTCTTTGGGAGAGGGAGTCGGCATCTACTTGATGTGATTAGAGGGTCTGACTCTGTTTGAATTTTCATTATTAAAGTTATTCCTTTCAATTAAGGCACAGACATCTTCTGCGAAAGTCCAAAATCATGTAAGTTTTTATCAGTGGACATGAGTGCAAGAGGGAGAAATTATTAAAGAAGACTGGAGAGGCACTTTTCTGCAGGATTCCCCAGCAGTTAGGAGTCACATAAAGTCACATGGTGTCTCTAGAAGAAAGGGAAGGAGATGGGAGAGCATGCTGTTGGTCTCACATGCTTGTTTTTGTTTTGCATACCGAGGCAAAAGATAGTATGAATGTGCACCAAAGGCCAACTGGGCCAACAGCTTTGACGACAGTGATTATGAAAATAAAACGACACTGCTTGTGTCTGGCTAGTTTGTGCTTCTCTGTTCCTCCTATGCAGGGCCCAGAGTGCATATTTAATTTCTTTACTTACATTAACTTACAAAATTCAGATTTTTTTCATTTGAATACAATTTTTAAAAAGTGTGTTTTTAATAATGTATTCTTTCACTTTGATTCGTATCACCCCTTTGAACAGATAGTATATTTACCCCTTTCGGATGAGTAAGGCACAGGGCATACACTGTCCTCCAGCCTTCCACTGCCTCCCTCCCTGGAGGCCGCCAGTGTTTTCAGTTTCTCCCATGTCCTTCCAGAAATATCCCATATACATTTCTTCCTGCGTAAAGTCTTAAAGTGACCGAACATGGTATGCAGGGTATATTTTCTCTGTGACTCAAAACTCAATAGTCTTTAAAAGTGTCACTGCATCTTATTCTCCGCATGTCAAAGATTTTGAAGGTAATGTTGTGAAATGCAAGCCCATTTTAGTTTCTCATTGCCTTATCCTTTTCCTAACTGCAAACATCTCACCCTCCCTGCCTCCCAAGCCGCCCATCAGTTTATTTCCTTGGCATAAATGATGGTCTTCCCACCTCCAGACTGGAGGATGGAAATATTTTTGTTATTGTGTGGTAATCCCAGATTGGAAATCAAATGTTGTCTCACCATCATGTCTTTGTTCAATGCCAAAAGCAGATGGCAGTGAATCCGTGTATGATCTAATCCTTTGATTTACACTGACCAGTTGTAATTTATTATTTCTTCTCCTAATTAGAAGATTTTAATGTGTTTAGCATCACAAAATTTAATTTATTAAAATGTTTCTACAGAATGAACAAAAAGAAGTCATTAGTAAATTTCACACAGGAAAAATACATCTGCTTATCGCTACCGCAGTGGCTGAAGAAGGTCTGGATATTAAAGAATGTAATATCGTTAGCCGTTACGATCTCATCACAGATGAAACAGCCCTGGTCCAGGTACATTCAAATACCTCTAATATGTTAACTTTTGGTTTTGTGTTACTTTAATTGTTTTCTTTTAGTAAAACAGCACAATTCTAAAAAATATACCTGTTTTCCTACCAAAAGACAAATCATTTCACAATGCATACAACTATCAAATCATTGTGTTACACCCCTGAGACCAATATAATGGTATGCCAATTATACCTCGGTAAGAAAAAGAGAAGAGACTGTCTTTTATATTGTTATTTAATTCAGATGACAGCCAGATACCTGTTGTGCTTTTAAACAACAACTCTTCTGCGGTTGCCGTTTCTATGTCCTGAGACTTCTCAGGAACATGACACAGGCCCTTTATTCCTGGAGTGTATGTGGACCAGGAATGTCTGATACATCTGATAAAGGAGCACATCCACACCTCAGGGATCCCTACTGTTTTTGCATGTTTCTTCCTTACTCTTTCAGTTTTTCTTTCTGTTTGAAAATTTTCCACAACAAAATGTGGGCGGTCTTACATATGCAAAAACAAAACAACAGTGAGATGTCCTGGTTTTCATGCAATTTCACTTTATCTTTTACCCATTCTGTGTTTACAATGTAACTGCTACCTTCTGTTGTGTATGTTCTCAGCTGTGCTGGTTAATAGATAGAATATATTCTTTCTTTAAAATTAACCAGTTACTTTTTAATGCTCTAAATCGCATCCTAAAATGGCAACTCATGGAAGACTAAGATAACCAGACTGCTACTAAATTAGGAATTAATGGCATTTCAGGAGTTGATTTGTCAGTCAGTGGTTTATTGCCTAGAATGCATTTTTCACATGGATAATACTACAGTTGGTAGCTAGGTTCCTGGGCCAGGCTGCAACACCCCCAAAATGTACCTAAATGTCGTTTTATAAAAAGGAATACAGAAATTGATCACCATGTTGAGCATTTTTCATGTGGAAAAGCCCTCCAGTGCCCTGAGGTGCCAGGAACAGAGTTGCACTCCCAACTGCCCTGGGGTCAAGGTCAGAGATGCTCCACCCACTCATCCTTCCTCCCCAGTCCAAGTCATGGTTGACAGTTCCCAGAGTTTGAGGGGTCTGGGGGACAAAACACCTGGTCAGGATGGTGTTGTGGAATTGAGATTTTGAGGCTAGGTCAAGGGACCGGACTGTCTTCATTCTAGAACATTGTTTCTGCATGAAAGTCCATTTTGAATTTCCAGTAGCTAACTTGCAAAGAATAGATAATAACCAACTTTATAGACAATAGATAACTCATTTGAGGGGACACTGAATAGTAATATCATTCCAGGCCCAAACTGGGAGAGTTCTCAGCAAGGCATAGCCCTTTGTTCACTGATTTCCTTGTATTCTCAGGCCAGAGCTGGAGCCAGGGCAGAGGAGAGCACCTAAGTCCTGGTAGGCCACAGCGGCTCAGAAGCTTTTGAACTTGAGACGGTTAATGATTTCCAAGAGAAAATGACGTATAAAGCCATAGACCATGTTCAAAATATGAAACCAGACGAGTATGCTCATAAGGTATTGTTTTTGGCCTCTCTGAAGTTGGTTTTCACTTTAAAATAGCTGCACATGGTTGCCATTGATATTTTTGTGGCTAAGTCTCCAGACAGAAATTGTACTGAATTTGAAGCTCCAGTTTGGTGAGCTGTGCTTCATCCAGATTCACAAAGAATCAAGATCTGTGGTGAGCAGAGATTGTCAGGCAGCCATTCCAGAGCAACCAGCCATGAAGTCTGATAAAATAAATTTAGCCTGCCCTTGATTCAGGAAGGCCAATGTAACTGTCCCATTTAAACCAGCTTCATAATTTTGGTTTCATCCACTCTGTTTGTATAGACACAAATTGCTCATTCCAGAAATATTATGAAATGCCTACTACGTGCCAGGCAACGTTCTAGAAACAGAGAGCAAGGTGACAACACAGTCACCTGCTGCCTGAAGCTTATATTCTAGTTTGTAAATGGTGATATTTGAGGAAACAAAATAATAGAACATAAACAAAGCAAGAAATACATCGCATAGAGATAGATACTGGAGAATTAGAATAGGGTGATGTGAAACACGTCACTAGATGGGTACTGTAGATGTAGTGATTGGGGAAGACTTCCCAGCCCCATCTAAATTGGGGGGTAACACTGAGGCCAGATCTGAGTAATAAGAAAATACATACCATGTCATCCAGCCTCATCACAGTTCACTAAAGTAGGGTTATTTGGGTTCTGAGAGGAAGGCAGTGAAGGAAGAATGCATTTCTACAATATTCCAGGAAATCCCCCATACCACTGAATTAAAGACTGTAACTACTATAATAGCAAACAATCCATTTAGAAGAAAATTCACACCCTTGCATATGGGTGTGAATGTTAGTTTCTTAACATTGGAATTGGCTCTACCCTAAATAGACTTTCATGAAAGGGATGCCTTTACATTGGTGTGCTTTGCTATAACCAACTCCGTTTCCTGGCCAGGTTTCTACACAAACTTATATTTTAAAACCCCTTTAAACGTAAGGCAAACCAAACATTTTTTAGTGTCAAATCAAATATCTGTGGTCAAATAATGCCACTAGAGAGTTACTGCCTTACATTTAATGTCCTAGATAAATGAATCAAGTGGGTGTTTTCAAAGATTGATGTTTTAACACCAGTTTTTTGGAGTGAACTGTAGGACAGTCTTTGGCTTTTATGAGTCAGATTTTTACCAGATAATCTCTAGAACAAGGCACAATCCCTTTGGGAGCCCCAGAATGGACTTTTAGGTCTCCTTTGGCTAAAGACCTGCGTTGCTTAAACTTCCCTAAGCAGTGATGGCTACGGTCTGGGGGTACATTCTACCACTGCCCTGTTCAGTGCCCCCAGGAGACACTGCTGCAGGGTCACAGCACTCCTTTCTTCTGAGTTGAGAATCCTCAACACAGTGTTCAAGAAACCACTAATGAATGGTGAGAGTCGACACATAAAGTGAGATCATGTGCAGAGTTTATGCATAATTAAAATCTTCTTAAATCAGACTTCTAGGAGCAAGTTGAAGATCTTTAACATTTTCCTTGGCATTGACCCAACTTTTGCTGCATTATTTCAGTTTATTGGATGTAGACTGATTATAGTTGAGCTTCCTTGTATATTTACTCTGATATTTTTTTCCTTTTCTTTTCTTTTCCTTTCTTTTCCCCTTCTGATTATTTCACATTCCTTACTATTTTAGAACTAATCTTTTACTTTCCAGTGTCCTGGTTACATTTCTGTACACTGACCTGGGTTTTATTTTTATTTGTTTTTGTTGCATTCATTAGGTGTATCTTAATTGCCCATACAAATCTTTTAATCAGCTTGCTGAACCATAAATACATTGCAATAACAACCTAATTAAACCTTCAGGAAACAGAATACTTCAATTTATTATATTTATAATTTATATAGGAAATTAGTCTTTGTACTTGTCCGACTAAACTATCCCACAGTCCGCAGGTTTCCTTGCAAGGTTTTGTTCTCTTTTCTGTGCTAAATAAAAGCCAAAAGCACAGAGGGGAGAGCCAAAGGGGAGGGCTGCTTGGCTTTGTTGGTCGGCACTGATGACTCACTTTTACTGAAAAATTCCCTTTGGTCTTAAGAAAAGGAATGGCTTTTTCCACAGTTTAATGTGAATTTGTCATCTATGAGAAGTTTGGTTTGGAGTTAAATTGTTTAGGAACCATATTTTTCTACTGTGGAGTTGCGTAGGTGAGAGAACTGGCCAGTCCCTATTTCAAGTTTTACACCTCTCACAAACTACAGTTTCTGCTGTGAACTAAGGTCCGCTGCTAGTCACAGAGCTGGAAGACAGGGCATTGGGGCTTATGCTTGCACGTAAAGAATGTGGGCAATCTAGACTCAAACCATAGCTCCATGATGTCATGAGAAAGTCAAAACCCCTCTCTCCTCTGCCCTTTAGTACATGGCTTCCATTGCTGAGGTCAAAGATAGTTTTAGAATTTCAGCTGCCACATTCTCATTTTCGGCAGGAAGGAGGAAGAAGATGGAAGGGGCCAAAAGTGCACATGGCAGCTACCTGATACTCAAGGATCCTTTCTGGAAATCCCACTTGAACTCTTCTTATATCTCATTGGCCACTAGCTTGGAAATGTAGTCATTTAGCTAGCAAATTTCCACCCAGAATAAAATTATAGTTCTGTTTCTAGGAAGAATGGACACTGGGTAGCAAACTAGTAGTTTCTGCCACAAACATGCAAAGAAGAGATTGACCAAGATAGTGGAGAGCCTGGCAATTATAACAGGAGGAAAGATGGAAGAAACTGGGGGCTTATTAGGGATAAGAGAAGACTGGGTAAGTAATCATAGTGCTTAGTTCTTTAAAGACATTCCATATGGAAGAAGGTTTAGACTTATTTTATGAGACAGAATTAAACCTAAAGGGCAAGGGAGGTTAGAGGGAGAGATTTTTTGTTGTTGTTGAATGTTGCTAAGGATTTTCTCACATTAGAACTTTTCTGAAATTGAAGAGGTTGTTTTATGAACATCTGAGAGTCCCACGTATCCATGATTACAGAAGATTATATACTAAATCCTTCAAGGACTATTGCCTCATTTTTTTTACTTCTAGACTATGGGTCAAGTGTATATTTTCATAACAACCTAAGATCTCTAAATTCCAAGAGACTTACTTCAGTGAAATATGAATTAAGTATTTTTTCTTGATGCAGATTTTGGAAGTATACATGCAAAGTATAATGGAAAAGAAAATCAAAATCAAAAGAAGTAGGGCAAAGCAGTACAGGGATAAGCCATCATTAATTAGTCGCCTCTGCAAACTCTGCAGTGTGCTCGCCTGCTCTAGTGAGGGTATCACGTAATTGAGAGGATGCGCCAGGGCCACGTGACAGCAGAATTCAAGTAAGACCAGAAAGACTCAATTTTAAGTTTCTTTATAAAGGGTGAAGCAGGTTGTATTATAAATGTCCTTCCAAAACAGTACAAAGGAGGTTCATTATTTTTCAGAACTTCCCCTCCATTAATCCACAAATTATATTCCTATTTCAAATGTCAGTTTTTCAAATATATTGCACTCAGGCAGGGAGGGAGAAGTATAAGACCCAAAGCCATTTTGGCCCAAGGCTCATTGGTTTGGTGTATCCTCAAATTTCTGAACAACTTAAACCTGGTTAAAATAATCAACACACTTGAAAGAAGCCGCAGAAGGCAGCATGCCCCCCAAGAGGCATGCACGTGGAAAGGGGACACCTGTCTGCTGGCCCGGGGAGGCAAGAGGGGGAGGGGCCTGAGCTGTGGCATGATGCCTGCATGTGGCTGAACTTCAGGGCTGCCAGCATGTGCCTTTGGGCTGCATATCGGTCCTTTGCAAACTCTCAGGGATGTTCCTTCCTCTTTGATAATTTTAGGGAGCTCTGCCTCGTGAGAGAGAACAAAGCACTAATAAAGAAGTTTGCACACTATCAAGCAAATGGCAAGATTATCTGCACAAAATGTGGCCAAGTGAGTAACTGGCTGTTGCCCTTTTCACTTTGGCCTAAAGGAATTTTTAATTGAATGTGCATTTAATTTTTCCTCCCACTCTCTTTTGTTTTCCAGGCTTGGGGAACAATGATGGTGCACAAAGGCTTAGATTTGCCTTGTCTCAAAATAAGAATTTTGTAATGGTTTTCAAAAATAACAAACCAAAGAAACAATACAAAAAGTGGGTAGAATTCCCTGTCACATTCCCTGGTCTTGAGTATTCACTGTATTGTTTGCTTAGTGATGAGGATTGACATTTGATTCAAGAATCTTTGAAAATATCATCAACTCAACATTTAATATGATTAATATGTTTTCATTGTACTCCAGAACTGATGTAAAAATTAAAATAATCACTGTATTCTGCATTGGGCTGTATAGAGGAAGACAATATATTATGCTTTCAATCATCTATCTTGTTAGTGGAGAGCTGTAAAGAAAACCTACCAGTATTACTTATTACTGTGGAGCATTAGAGTACTATGGGAAGAATGCTGGAGTATAAATGAGGATCCAGATTACCAGTCTTAGTCCTTAACAGTGAGAGTTATCACATTATCTGCTTTCACTTTTGTCTAGTTTTCTATTGCTGCATAACAAATTACCAGAAACTTAGTGGCTTAAAACAACACTCATTTATTCTTGCACATGTTCCGTGGGTCAGAGGCCTGGGCTGGGCCTGTGCTCAGGGTCTCAGGAGGCTGGAATCAAGGCATCAGACAGACGATGTTTTTACCTGGGTGCTCAGGGAAAGAATCACTGCCACATTTTTCAGGTTGTTGGGGGGCCATTCCTTGAAACTGAAGACTGAGATTCTAGTGTTCTTGCTGGCTGCCCACTGGGGCTCACTCTGGGCTCCAGAGGCCGCCCTCACCGCATGTCCCATTCACAGGGCCTTCTGTAGCCCAGCTATGTGGTGGTCAAGGCCTGCAGAAGAGTCTCTGCCTTACGTCTGTTAAGATGAAGTCCTAACTGCTAGGATGAAGATGAAGTGACTGTCTCATCACATTCCTAGGTGCTGCCCACACTCCAGCGAGGGCATTGTTCAGGGTATGTACACCAGCAGGCGGAAATCTTGGAGGCCATCTTAGAATTCCGTCTCTCTCACTGCACCAGTTTTTGTGATTTAGGGATATATGTGTACATCAGAAAGTACTTCAAAAAATATGAAGCTCCTTAAAAGGGAAGGTATTATTAGGTAGTAGCATCAGGTAGCTGGAGACTTACCTCCTCAGCATGCCCTCCCTGAACGTAACAGGATGCTCAAAAACTGCCTAACAACGGGAATGGTGGTTACATCCTGACTAGTTATTAATATCTACAAGATGACCTGTATCCATGGAGATGTCCAGGGTTCACATAGGATTTATCTATGGATAGGGATTTATTTATTTAGGGAGCAGATACTGGACATTATTAAGGAATAAAGAGCAACTATCTACCCCCACCCCTCCCTAGTCCCAGGCAGAAGAGTAAGTCTGTGGCTGTGACATTTTCAGCGTTTCTGAACCGAGTGTGATCTTTTGGAGATGGACACAGGGCCCAGCACTTCAGAACATTCTCCCAGGAGACTAGCAGCCTGTTTTTGCATGGAAGAGCCACGCGACTGAGACAGAGCCACAGCTGGCCGTTGTAACCACACTTACTGACCCAGTCTCACAGATGGTCTGCTCCACGGAGAGTCACCTCCTATGGCTAAGGAGAAAAAAATTATTAGAGGGAGTAAAAAGAAAACTTTTCTGTGGTTTTCATAGATCAATTAAATTCAATATAACAGTAGCTTTGAATTTTTTCTTGATAAGACCTAAGAATTAAGGTGAATACTAACCAATCAGAGCTCTTGAAATGCAAGAGCACAAAAAAGATGGTGGTTTTTCTGAAAATATTTTTTAAACTCCAGCTGACTCCATTTAAAGTACTGTTGTCTTCTAGAACATTTTGGAAACTATGCAAGAAACCAAATGCATAAAATAGCTAAATGTACTACTGTAACTTATATAGACTCTTTGAGGTATCAACAAATATCAGATTTTTTCACTCATGTTTTCCAGACATTTTTTTTTCAATAAAGAAGTGTCATTTCTACTTCAAAGTTTTAAAATACATGCTTCAAATGGTACAAACTTTAATAGGAGGTGGTACCTGAAAACTCACACTATGGTGCATGTATTTCATTCAAAAACAGTTGCAATAGCCCTAACATTTTGATGGACTGTTACTGAGCAATTTAACACTTACCGTATTTTAGAGTCATTTACAGAATACGCTCATGACATGGAGATGCCAGCCTGGAGTTAGAATGCCCAAGTTTTAGTCCCCACAAAATTTTCAGTTAGTTAGGCAACTTTGAGAACCTTATCTCACAAGTCCTATGTTTCTTCTCCTAGAAAATGAGAGATAGGATTAAATGATATCAAATGTTACTTACTGTTCTAGCTTTCTTTTTTTTTTTTTCTAGGTTTCTTATAATCCATGCTTTGAATGTCCAGGCTGCTTTCATTCTAAGAGCTTGTCCAGTGACTGGTGATAATATCAGCTGTGGGCTAAATATCTGCTAAGTACATTACATATTTGAAGATAGCTCATATCTGCCAAAGGATGTTGCAGGCATCTCATAAAACAGGTACACTGGCTAAAGGCATGTGTCTGAAAGCAGGTTTGAAAGGCCTGTAAGTATTAGGAATTTTAGAACAAGTTTTTCCAAAACGGTGGATCATTGGCCAACTTTGTACATATGAAACATAAGGTTTATGCCAGAAGTTTGAGATCATTTCAAATCATATAAAATTAAAATACAGTAAATTGTAGTTTATATAAATACCTTGAATGTAAGGCATTGAGGCACACACAATGAGTAACAAATGGTTCCAGAGGACAGTCTGTCTATATCACAGGCAATTGTTAAAAGTGAAAAATGCTTTCAGAGAGGTAAATATTTTCTCTCTGCAATGTAATAGTCTCTACATCTGAGTGTTAAGCCTTAGGGGAAAGGAGACTTTTGGTGGTTTATTTTTTTCAGTTCAGTTGAACATACAGCTAAAGAGGATTTGGAGTTTCTGGTAGGAATTGTTGCTTTTAAGATGTAAAACAATCAAACAGACTTATGTGCTGATAGGAAAGAACAATAGAAAGTGAGAAAATGCTAGCAATGTTCAACCCCAAAGTAAATTGCTTTTTGGGTACTGTTGATATTTTCTACCAAATATTCTTGCTACAGTCTTTTCTCGTCACCCTGATCCTCCCTCAAATGTGTGCCTTTGCAGAGTGGCTAGAAGCCCTTCCTCTCCACCTCTTCAGCAGACATCCTTCATGTTCTCCAAAGAAAAAGCTCCTGTGTCCCTCCCCAGCTTCAGTGCCCGCCCGTCAGGTTTTCCGAACTTAAGGGAGAGACACACAGGGAAAGCAGGCATCACTCACCCTGAGCAGGACAAAGTGCTCCTTTCCCAAAGCTGCTAAACAATGGCATGAGTCACGGCAATAAAGAGAAAAACAAAGAGAAGTATTTTGTTTCTTTCTAAGAGTTATGAAGTTGATTTGAAACACAGTAAGCTTCAGTCTTCTCCCATTTGTGAATTCCTCTTTAATTAGTTGTACAAGATACGCCATTTTTTTAATGAAAGTATCGTTAATATACAATCTGATGATGGTTTCAAATGTTCGTCACAGTGGTTCAACAGTCCCCATAATCAACTTATATTGTGATTGCAAGTTATTGTGCCCTTTTATCCCCCTCCCCCACTACCTGCCCCAGACCCTCCCCCTTGGTAACCACCAGTCACTTCTCAGTGGCTGTGAGTCTGCTGCTGTTTGTTCCTTCTGTTTTGCTTTGTTTTTATATTCCACAAATAAGTGAAATCATATGGTATTTGTCTTTCTCCGCCTCGCTTATTTCACTGAGCATCACATCTTTGTTTTTATGGGGAGAGCGTGGAGCAAGAAAAACTGGGGTTCGGATCCTCACTAGTTTTGTGACTTGAGCAATTCACTTAATCGCTCTTGGACTACAGGGAATTAATACCAACCTTGGGGTTCTGTCATGAGAATTTGGGTATTGTTGGCACTTAGAAGGAATCAGTGTATAGAATACAGTAGCAGGGGCTGCTGGTAAAGTAGCAGCACTTGTAGATTAGCTGAAAGTGTAGCACAATAGCAAACTGCAGACCAGTGTTTGCTGATAAGCAGGACATATACAGAATTGGAGCCCCCACATCCAATGTTTAATCTACAGGGCTTAATCCAAGAAGTAGCAGATTTAATGAAGCATAGTTTATATGAATATGCTAATCAGTGTAGCTAGAGGGAAGGTATGAAGTCCATATCTTCTGTATGTGCAACAAATATGGGTATCAATATAAACATAGAGCTCAACACTTATTTATCAAGTTGATTATAGGACCTTACTAGGTCTGTTATGTAAATACAATTTTAGTTATATTCTGTCTTCATCTTCAAGACTAATATAATAATGTTGTTGTATGCCACCCAGTCATAAATCCCATGAAAAAGAAAAAGAGAGATTGGGTTGTAACACCTAAACATTAATTACCGACCTAAAGAGTGGTGGTGGTTTTTATTTGTTCTAAATCTCTGAACTTTTTTCTCAGGTCATAGGTTATAAAATATGAAAGACATATAGAAAGCATTGAAGACATCATTTGTAATTTTTAGATATATTCCAGAGTATTACCAATCCCTTTTTAAATGAAATTATTCATTCCATAAACATCTCATTTGCAGATGAAATTGAAAAGTGATGAGCCCTATAAGTTCATAATTTTTAAACCAAATTAAAGGCCATACCCTAGGTGGGGCCATGGGAAGAGGAACAGACTATTTATAGGCAATAGTTTTTAACCATGAAGTTCTTACAATATATATGGTACTCTATTTAAGATGTATTATTTGATGAAGTATAAAGTATATTATTTTTCATATACTAATTTCAAAAGTTGATATTTTGACATTTATGAAAAAAATTTAAATGTTTAATTCAATTATGTATGTATAGAGTAATGAACCAAAGGTGAGTATTTTTTCAACTGAAATATCCTTTTCAAACCCTGTCTTCTGCTGTCCTTTATGTATTTTATTGTATACACATAGGATCAGTGAACTGTTGAATGGGTTAGTTCTTCCATTTTGAATCCCTTCACAAAGTTGGAAATGATCGTGATTCAAGCTATAAAAATCTGTGTAATACTAAATTACCAAAACAATTGATTCAGTGTTACATTGACTAGGGCTGTCCACCAGAGATTAGTCTTAATTCAATACCACACCAAAGTTTCTACAACCAAATTTACTTTTTTCCTTGGTATTTGACTTAGGTTTATAATTTCATGACTTTACTTTGCATAATTCATGATAAATAACCTGTTGAGTTCGAAATTGCAACTTACCATAACCTTCAAAGTATTTATCTCATTTGACAAGTGAATCCCAAATTCTTCCCTAAAACATGATGTTTCTTGTGTTTAATTAGACCAAATAGTTTTTTCTGTTGAAAGCCATTAACCTCATGGAGAAAGATAAGGCCTTACATAAACAGCTTAATTCAGTGTTTTGATTTCTATCACTCATTTATTTTGAGATAAAATGTGAATCTCAAATAACTATAACAAACACATTTTCAAAAGTTTCATTTCATGTAAAATGTTATGCTCTGCTCAAGAGAGGAAAAAGAGAAAATGAAGGTAAGAAAGGGAATAAATAGATAAAAAGGGATAGACACAAAGAGAATAAAAAGATAGCCACACTAAAACATATAGACAAAGAAATGAGAAGGGAAGAAGGAAAAATAAAATAAACTTAACTGAGACATGTATTTATACATATACCTTATAATACACCTTGTAAATGACCAATTCTTTCTTTAGCTATTATTAAGTACTTTTAAATCCTACATTTTTAAGATGCCATATTTTAGGCATAGAGACTAGTGAGTAAAATAATGATCTTACTCACAAAATCTCTTGCCCAATAGTGAGGATCTTTTACTCAATAATGAGTAAAATAAGAATCTTGCTTTTAGGATTCACTTGTAGAGATTAGCCATGTTCAAAAGTATCAATAGCATATGGAAGACAGTGATCAATACCATAAGAGAAGGGAAGGAGAGAGATTAAATTGGATTGTGGAGTGTCCAGGAACTTTCTCAATGTGTTTTGGGGTTATCCCATTTGTAGGTGAAAGTGTTGAATATGGAGAGTGTGGACATAAGAAAAAAGGAAAACATGTGACAATCCATACGGGAGAATTTTACCATCAAATATGGTTATAATAAACTCCCTTTAGAAAAGACAGTTATTCTAGCTATGTTTAGATATTTTTTGGCTTAAAGTATTTATACACTATTTTGAGATAATTTTGTACACAACATTTGATTGTAAAATATTACTAAACTTTACCTCATTAATTACACAATAGTAAAATTGTTATTAAGATTCACTCCTCTGTAAGGGTTTGAGGAAAAAACAAACTAGTGAAAGAGGATGCTGACTTCTGATGTAACAGTCATGGGGAAAGGCCAGGACTTCCTTTTATAATGTAAATCAATATAATTTTACTGTGTTCATTTTCCTCTCTCCATTCATTATCCTTGGCTTGACTGATGCCTGAACCATAAGTGAGTTTTCGTGCCGGAGGTGGGAAACTTTTGTGAATAATCATATTAAAAATTTTTGGTTCCTGTACTATCAGAAACTAACAATGCCAGTTATCAGTGTATTTGCCCCTCATCTCCAAATTCAACCTTTTTATCTGTTCCCTAAACATGAATCTGTGCCCTTTAAATATTCTTGCTCTGCCTGAGGGCATAACTTAAACTTTGCCTGTAGAGGGCGCTGGTGAGGAAATACAGAGAGAGAGTTTCGCTTCCTGGTTCTGCTGCTGTCTTGGCAAGCTTCTGCAGTGTGGGTGGCTTCTCCAGCATCCAGTTCCTGCAGTACATGTGTCTTCCTCCAGCGCCAGGGTCTTGCACGGCAGCCAGCAGTAGTCAGTAGCCAGCAACTGCATCTCCTCAGCCAGTTTTTGTGCACAATGCCTTTAGTAAGACACCTCTCCTTGAGCAGCTTTCCTTGGCATCCAGAATGTACTTTCCTGCAAGCTCCAAAAAGGCAGCTTCAGGCAACTTCTTTGCTTTCAGTCATCTACAATTGTCCTCCCCCACAGGGTCTGAATCTCAGCCTTGGGCGCTCTATCTCAGCCACAAGGAAAGTGGCTACTTCAAATCTCTGCTACTTCTATATTTTTTAGAGTTCTTTTTACTTTTTATTAGCTAATCCTTTGTTACTCCAATCCCATCGTAGTTATTTGTATTAAATTTTTATCTCTTCAGATCACTCTGTAGTTTCTCCCACCAGATTAGACTCAGACTCACACAATAATATGTAAAGAAATATGAGAATTAGTTCATAAGAAGTTATAATTTTCAAATACCCAACTACTCTTATGTATAGCACTGTATTTCACATAGGAAATGAGTCAAATGCATCTGACCAGTCTCTAACCAAACAATTTAGAATCAGGACAGGATGTATTTTGGAACTAGGTAGTTTCATTTTCTGAATCCAAACAACCAGTTTTGTAATACCAATAACGGGACCAAAACGTCCTTTCTTACAT